TATACAGTCATATATATAACTAACCTAACCCAGCCTAATGTAATCTAACCCAACCTATACATTCACAGTTTACAGTGCAATTATAAGAATTTTTGAAAAATTATGTAGTATCATTAAGGTGTCCTCATCAGTCACCACTGCGTGTACCGGCTAGGTACGGCATTGGCAGCAAGCTGTGACGTCGCTGACGCATGCGATAAAGCTCTCGCGTGCGATAAAATCTCACGACTGCCCAACACTGCTAAGTTAGTGACATCTATTAGTGAAAGTCGTAACTTTGTTCGATAATCGAAATTGTTATTCGATCTGCAATATATCGATAATATGTTGAATCTCGAAAAATTCTGTTTTCCTGTTTTCCCGCGAAAAATTATAATGAACGCACGTTGATCGTTCATATGTACATCAACTTAACTCTGTACTCGTGAAAGATATTTCTAAGAATTTTATTGTGTTAAAAAAGACAGTGTAATTGAAATTAAAATGGATGCAATCGATAGAGATCAAAGATTTGAAGAAATTCAAAGAGAATATATGGATTTTTTAGATGACATGGTAAGTTGGATAAATATACAATCAAGCATTGAATTACTTTTGTGTAATTACCCTTTAGGAGGATCAAGGAATTTATACTACTTATGTAAAGAATATGATTGAAGACAATAGGCGTAGATTGTTTGTAAATATTAACGATTTGAGAAGAAAAAATCCTATTCGTGCAGCAAGGTACGCATAAGTATTGTTTATATACTTTCTTCATATAAGTTCCATGAAAGTGTTTTAATCTCATTAATATTTACTTTACGATATATACCTTTTCTTACAGCTTGTTGGATAATGCTTTTGAAGAACATCATGCTTTTGAATTAGCATTAAAACAATTTGTTGCAAGTATTGACACTGAGTATGCTAAAGAAAATATAGATTTATTTATAGGATTTGAAGGGAGTTTCGGAAATAGACACGTTACACCAAGAACCCTTACATCACGGTTCTTAAGTAACTTAGTGTGTTTGGAGGGTATTGTTACAAGATGTAAGTTAAATTTGTCTTGTATGCATTTTGTATCTCAACTTTGTTGTAATCTTACAAAATAAATATTATAAATTTTTGCAGGTTCTTTAGTACGACCAAAAGTTGTAAAAAGTGTTCATTATTGCAGTGCCACTAAAACTATAATGGAAAGAGCTTATACTGATTTTACCTCGTTTGAGGCATTTCCACAATCTGCTGTATATCCAACTACAGTAAATATTTTTTATATAATATTATATTTGAGGATGACTTAAACATTTCTTATTTCACTTTTGATATTTAAACTGTAGGATGAAGATGGCAATTTATTAGAAACAGAGTTTGGTCTTTCTACATACAAAGATCATCAGACATTAACTATACAAGAAATGCCTGAAAAAGCACCAACTGGTCAACTACCAAGGAGCATTGATATTATATGTGATAATGATTTAGTAGATATTTGTAAACCAGGGGACAGAGTTCAGATTGTTGGAAGTTACAGATGTCTTCCTGGCAAACAAGGTGGATATACAACAGGAGCTTTTAGGTATGATAAATATAAGTATTCACATGGTCCACTTAAAACTATATGTAAACAGATACACACTATTCATTGAAGTAGAATATATAAGTTACTTTAATATGAAAATTTTTCTTCCACAGAACAATTTTAATTGCTAATAATATTATGCAGTTAAGTAAAGAAGCCAATTTAACTATTTCGCATAACGATGTTGCCATGTGTAAGAAACTTGCTAAAAATAATCCATGTAAAAATATTTTTGAATTACTCAGTAAATCACTGGCACCTTCTATACATGGTCATGATTATGTGAAGAAAGCAATTTTATGCTTATTACTTGGTGGTGTAGAGAAACTATTACCGAATGGTACAAGATTGAGAGGGTAAAGATTTATATACACAATTTATGTATGAAATGAAAATTGTCCAACAAAATCTAATTCTTAACTTTTATAGGGATATTAACGTTTTACTCATAGGTGATCCATCTGTTGCAAAGTCACAACTTTTGCGTTATGTTTTGTGTACTGCACCGAGAGCGATACCAACTACTGGTAGAGGATCTTCAGGAGTTGGGTTAACAGCTGCTGTTAGTATGGATAATGAAACTGGGGAACGCAGACTTGAAGCTGGCGCTATGGTGTTAGCAGACAGAGGAATCATTTGCATAGATGAATTTGATAAAATGTCAGACATTGACAGAACAGCAATACACGAAGTTATGGAACAGGGAAAAGTAACTATTGCTAAAGCTGGAATACATGCTAGCTTAAATGCTAGGTGTTCTGTTTTGGCAGCTGCAAATCCAGTTTATGGAAGGGTAAGAGTTACTTACTGAGAACGGTTCTTTAATCGAAGTAATAATATTTACTTTTTTCTTATACAATACGTTCGTGTTTTGCAGTATGATCAATATAAAACGCCAATGGAAAATATTGGCTTACAAGATTCACTACTGTCACGTTTTGATCTGTTATTTGTTATGTTGGATTTGGTTGATTCTGAACAAGATCAAATAATTAGTGACCATGTTGTGAGAATGCATAGATACAGGAATCCTATGGAACAAGATGGAGAAGCATTACCACTAGGTAGCAAGATAGATATACTAACTACGAAAAATCCGGATGAAATAATTTCTGAAGGCACAGAAACTCAAATTTATCAGAAATATGATCCTTTATTGCATGGTTTGTCCCGTTCAAAAAGGTATAATTTCAAGTATTATAAATATAAAATATTTTTTAATATAACATATTAAATAATATTTCAGTGATCAACTTCTAACTATAAATTTTATGAGGAAATACATTCACATAGCTCGTTGTATGAAACCAAAACTCACAGAAGAAGCTAGTGAAGTTATTGCTAGTGAATACTCAAAATTGCGGTCAGAAGAATCACTAGATTCAGATGTAGCAAGGGTATACATTGTTCAAAATTTATTTAGAAAAATATCATGCTTCTTTCTCTATACATTTTTCATTTTTCCGCTATTAGACACAACCTGTAACAGCTCGTACTTTGGAAACATTGATTCGGTTGTCTACTGCACATGCAAAAGCTCGTCTATCAAAAAATGTTACTGCTGAAGATGCGCATGCAGCAATAGAACTTGTAGAATTTGCTTACTTTAAACGAGTACTAGAAAAGGAAAGGAAGAAGCGCAGACGGCATGATAGTGAAGAAAGTACACCCGCAGAAAATGAAACCGAGAAAAAACAAAAGCGTACGAAGAAAACGGATGGACCTTCGGATGATCCATATGACTTTGATAGTGATGATGACTCTCAGATGCAAGAAGTTACAAGAAAAATGACTAGATCGCAATCAAAAGTAGCTAGTTCCCAAAAGTCAACAACAGATTCTGAACAAACTGTAGTACCAGAAACACCCACAACTATTACCGACGAAAGGTGAGTGCTTGAATCGCTTCTACATGATCTCTTGTTAAATTTCATTACTAATGAAAATACATATATCATTTGATTTTAGGCTGAAAGTCTTTAGAACACTTTTACATAAATTGTTCCAACAACAAAGGGCACAATCACTTCCGCTATCAAGAGTACGTGAATACGTTAATACTCAACAATCTCAAGAATTTACATCAGGGGAAATTACCGCTGCAATTAACAAAATGTCTGATGCTAATCAAATTATGGCTGCAGACGATAACATTTTTCTTATGTAAATTCTTCTATTATGTATGTAAGCCGTTTTATATTTTTTTACTATGCTTAGCTGTAAATTTGTCATGGACTTTTATATTATTTTAAATATTTTAAAGAATTTTTATATACCAAAAACTGTATTTCAATAATTTATACTTTACACGTTTTCCATTCCATGGTATTAATTCATTACATTTCATGTTATTTAAAAATTCATAGAAATGTTCAATTTATTTTTTATCCTTTTTATCAAAGTAAATAAGTCTTTTATGGTTGGAAATTAATTGTGTCTATCAACATTTATTATCTTTCCATATTACAGTATAGCACATTGGCACATAAACTAGCAACAGTGATCAACATTTATTACAATACTGTAAACAATATTTATGTTTCTAAGGCTTTTTGTTTTATATTTAAATATATATATAAAATTAACTCATATCACATAGATATAAATAGTTGTGCTGTTTTGTTTAAATATATATCTCTAATATTTAGGCATTTTTTATATACAGTTTCTTCTATTCACATTTTCACTTAGTTAAAAAAATTCTTAACTTTTATAACATTATGCACTTTTCTTTTGTGTACAAGTTGGCTCAAGTTTAATGATAAATTTGAACATATACTATTTTCATAACTGTTCAATCAAGTTATAAAAACTGGTTGCCTGTCATTCAACTTTATACACCTGAATTGTTGAAAATGAATCTATGCACAATATGTTTGATGGTATTCAACTTAAACATATGTGTTGACATTTTATTATGATATACTCTGTTTTATCCAAGTAACTTGTATTCTTAAAGTATTATTTATGGAGTATATCAAATTATTCAGGTTTTATTATATCTATATGTATAACAAAAATGCTACATTTACAATCATATGCAAAAGCTTTACAGCTTCCAGTATTAAATTTACTACTTTCTTATCATTATAATACAGGCCTTTAGGACGTAATGTTTCTATTGGAAATTAATAGATTTATGATAATTTTTCTTCACATAAATATATCAAATTTTCAACAACTAAATTAACTTCTTACAAAAAAATTATCATTCACATTCATTGTACTCACAGTTGTACCTGACAACATTAATTTGGTTTAACATTTCTTGTTGTATAAAACCTATCATATCTAAATCTATGATTCTGTACAAATTTCATACTTCAACACCGATAACTACCACAGAATATATATAACATAATTAACAAATTATTTTCAATATAATAAGAAACACGCTGTGTTGTCTACAAAACATTAATTTGCGTGGAACCTGAGCATTTGTAATAGCAAGCTGCAATACATGAGGGGAGAAAATCAACAATCGTCGTAAATCTTGATATCAAATAATATGTTAAAATAGCTCAAAAACTAAAACTGTATATTACAATTCCCTCGTGCATTAATAGAATAACATTTGTTACCGTTCCAATATAATATATTGTTACTAAATTTTCTAAATACTCTAATTTAAAATAGTAGTTAAAAAATAAATGCAAATCATGTTTCTATGTAATCAATTTTATATAAGTTTGACACATGAAATTATGTTGTGAAATTATATGATTAGACTAGGAAGGTAAGCTAACAGAAAAATAGCTATGCTCTAAAACGTTTGAAAGTTTTACAGGTACTGTAATATTTAATACAGCTCTTTCTTCTTGGAATATGAGTTTAGCAAAACTTGACAGATCAATTGATACTTGCAAAAAAGTAAAAACGAAAGGCAACAAAGTATGATCTGTGTTTGGATTATTTTAGTACTTCGTTTAAAATATCAAAACATGTGCTTCATCTTTATATTTTGCTGCAATATGTTTGTAATTAAAAATACCCGTTGTAAGACACGAATTCATTTAAACCTCGTCTTCGCTGGACTCACTACTGTATGCCAACTGTTCTTTCCACCATTCTCGAACTTCTAGCATAACGCTGGAAGATTTTGGTGCAGTTGTCTTTGTATTAACAACTTCTCGCTGTTGTCTGCTTGACTCTGTGCTTTCTGCGAGATGCGGTAAATTATTTTTGGCAGCCGCTTCAAATGGAAAGCTCACATTGGAGGAAAACACCACATAAAAGGTATGGATACTTAATCCAAGAATATACTTACGTGGTGGTCTGTTGTTCCGCTTCTTAGGTGCTGCATTCTTATCTTTTTCAGATCTAATGGAGGCAGGATCCGATAGTGTTGGAGTCAAATACTTTCTTCCTGATCCGCTGCCTATACTATCTGACCTTGGAAGAACACCAGGTTTTTTTGCTTTGTGCCTAGCTCCATCAGTATCCTGTTTAGCAACAAATATGTAGGAAGACTAAATTAAAAAATACATTTTTTAAATTAACAAACTATGGTAAGTATATTGACCAATGAAACAATTTACCTTTGTTTCAGTTTCTTCTTCTTTTGCTACTTCCTTTCCTTTTTCTTCTGTATGTTCTTGTTGTGGTGTTGGTTGATCAGTGTTAGCTCGCAGACGTGCTACAAGGCTATTTTGTTGCTTCTATGATGAATAAAATAGGTGTTTTATTAAAAAGATGTTTAGATGATGGGTGTTTAGATAAGTACCATTGTCACAAAAACTTACTCCGCTTGCTCTAATTTTCTTCAAACAGCCCTCCAACCAATTTCTAATAGTTTGCTTTGCAACTTCTTCCTCAATAATGTATTCAAATTCTTCTCTTGCTAACAATTCTTCAAGTTGTAAGGCTTTTCTTATATCAACTGAACGATATGATAACATACTACAGAGAAAATATCATGTAAACCAAATATTTTAAGGACTATTATACTATACACAGAATAAAGCCTTACTTGATAACATCATGGAAAGTAACATCTTCGCCATTGTTCAACTTCTCTAGTTCATAACACATATGCTTAAAAAGAAGCCTATCCTTCTGTGGGTCTGTCTCCAGTCTACCTTTTAATAACCGTAAAATAAACTTTACCTGAAACAAACTAATGCATCATTATTTCCAGTCAATTTACAATAATGTATTAAAGTTGTAACAATTTTCTCCGATGTACCCGTTTCACTGGTATAAAACCCTTCTGATGATTATCAACAACGTTCCAGGTATTTTGGAAGTTCCTGATGTCAGCGTAGGACAACAGTGCATCTTCTTCGTTGGAGTAAAATAGAGAGAAGTTTTCCATGATAATAGCTATTGTGGAAGATCAGCTATTACAGTGTCAATTTGAAGGAATGTGCTGGTAACATGTCTGCTGGACAGGGTCATTCAATACTTACCCACAAGAAGATTTAAAACGATATAGGTAATAATGACGTAGAAAGTACAAAAATAAATTAAGGAAGCATGGAAATTGCCGCAATCTGTCTCCCAATAATTAGCAGCCGGAGTGCAATACGGCGGTTGTATCATGCAATCGTGCATTATTTTATTCCAATCTTCTCCCGTGACAATACGGAAGAGCATGGCAACGCCAGTTACAGGTGATTCGAAATTGGCACGCCTAAATGATAATCGTCTATCTTAGAATCATATATACAGCAAAAACGGCCTTAAATTTGTACACTTTAACGTTAATCCCTTTCTCTTTTTTGTCATAGGTACACGTAACATTACCTTCCTATACCTTCACCGTATTTGACCGTTCCAAAGATGATAGTGCCTGCTAGCGCATAAAAGAAAACAAGAAGAAACATGCCGAATATAATGAAGAAACTTTTACAAACGGATACTCCAACCGTCAACATTAACATTTTGAGAGTCGTATGTTTGCCAGTTATCGTGAAGAATCTAAGTATCACAACCATAAAGCCAATTACGTATGACAAATCGTTCTGTAAGAAAGCACTCCTGTCATTACGCTGCTTAATCACATTTAATAATTTAATTGAAACAGTCATTGGACGATGACTAACTTTATCGACGTACCTTCATTGTACAATGAATGACGATCCAAATAACACCCACGACTGTCACCAGCAAATCATATCTGTTTCTTCTGGACTGCCAATAGCCACGTGGTGTAAAAGCAATGTTTTTCATAATTACTTCTACGAGGAAGATCAGTGTCAGAATCGTGGACACCGTAGCGAGTGCTTCCGTGTGTTCTTCCTCGATTCTCCACTTTGGGGAAAAAAGTAAAAAAAAGTCATTAACGCAAAAAAAAAAGGAACAGTAAGTGTACGGTTTACTTTTACCACGGTCTAATGGTAGCCGGCAAGGAACAAATGATTCAGAGTAACAGTCATTGAATCCTGTTCTTCAGCGAAGAGTATATACATGTTTGTACGAAGAAGTTGTGTAATTGGTTGTGTCGTGTATTGTTATTGTGGCATTAAACAAAAAGGAATGAGAAATTATTCAACTCACAGAAACACACAGAAGAGCACTGTTCATTAGTACCATGACTGCGATGAATCTTTTGAAAGAGATGTTTTGAGTGATGTCATAGATAAAGGCTCTAAATTTCTTTCCGTCTGGTCTGGGTGGTAAGTGCAATGGTTGAGCAATTTTCAATCGTTTTTTTAAATCACACCTAGTCACATCACAACATACATTTGTTTATCTTTCCAACGTGTTAAGATATTATGAAATATCAAATTGACCAAAAAGTTATGCCGTTTTTATCAGTAAACGATTAAAATAAGATTTTAAATTCCGTATGTTAGATTTGTAATCGTATATCTTAAAAAGTGGCAAAACGTTTTGATCGACCCAATAATTAATTAACGCATTACCATCGTCTTTGATCGACTGTGAGTAACGCAGTTCCTTTGTTTTCAGAATAATTAGCAATAACAACACCAACAAACAACGTCAAACCGATCATACAGCCCAGGAAAATATAAATATGGATATAAATCGCATGGACCTAAAAATTGATCAAGCTGTATCATCATACGAATGATTTAAGGTATTATAATTGACTTACGGGACCAAGTGCTTTGATAAGAACGTCTCTAACGTCGAGCCAACCTTTAAAGGAGAGTACTTCAAAAAGTGCCATCAATGCATCACCGATATTGTCGAAATTAAACCGCCTAGGATTAGCCCTAAAATATTTCACTGTCTGCTTAAAAATGTTCTTTTCACCTAACGAGTGACATTTTCATTTACAATGTAGCCTCGCTACATTTCACGCAAAGAAATTTTCAAGTTTCTAAATATTGAAAAGTTTCCATTATTCGCATTTAGTTAAGAGACTGAATTTGACCAGGGCCATATAGCGAAACTCCATTGTATGTTCATGTTAATGAGCCTACCAAACACGTGGCACTAGTATAGATGGATAACTCTCATTTTGGCCTGGTCGTAGTTTCATTTTCGTCACAAAAACTCTTCTCATAAATACTCCAACACAATCTTCCCGTTTCAGGATGGTGGGATCATTGCAACGAGCTAATCTACCTCCATAAAGTTGTACACCATAACTCGCAAATATAAACATCAACAGAAACAACAGAGTAGACACCTAAAAAGCTTCTTATTCATTTTTTGTCTGAACTTTGCGTCAAGCCTCACGCATCAAGTGTTATCAATAATAAATACTCAAAGAATATACAGGGTATCTCAAGAACAGGATATGTCAAGATAGAAATCAAAAACTGAGAAATAATTATATGCTACTTTGGGACACCCTGTACATTTAATCAGGATTAGTTACCAATAAGATCTCTTTGAAGCCTCTACACAGCTCGTAAACAACCTTCCTCATGTGTGGTACAAGAGTAAAGATTCTTAACGGCCTAACGCAGCGTAAGATCATGAGAAGTTGCGCGCCAGAATTCGGTGGCACGCTCTTCGGCATCCAACAAAGAAACACAAGACTGACCTGAATGTTTACTTGAATTAGTGATTAAGTTTAAGTAGTCAAAAAACTACTAGTAGATTCTTTGATTGCCAACGTACGACGTAGATAAAAACGTCCAAAACGGAGGCGACGTCTTTGATATACGCTTTCGGCGTGAAAAACAATCCGTCCGCCAGAATTTTTAGAGCCAATTCGATACTCATAAAGATCACGAAACCGTATTCGGTAATCTGCAACGCCGGTACCTCCATTACGCGGTATCGTGGGGTTTCGAACATCATGGAGATGCAAGACATCGTCGTAGCGAAGATCATTACCCAATCGAGATACGTGACCAAACCCAGAAAATTGCTATAAAAGCGCGTAATTACTGGCTGTTATTAACATTGTCTTGGAAGTTCAAGCTTTATAGCAGACGTTGCAAGATTCTCTAACATCCAAATTTGAGAATTTTCTGATCATTTCAAATTTTTATATTTCCAAAAGTTAAATTCACAATTCCCTGATATCACAAATCAACAAATTCTCAAATTTCAAAAATGTACTCAATAGTGGACTATTGAGACCACATAATATAAAGCAACTACGTTAAACGTAGAAGCACTTACTGCAAACTTTTATATTGAACTTTCCTCTCTTTTCCAGTTAACGGATCTTTTACGTTCGTATCGTATCTTGCATAAACGAGCGACTGGCAAATTTTACGGAATTTACTCTCGCGCGGTACCGCGAACAATGGTGTATCAAAAAATGGGTGATTTTCACGCAAGTCCTCCTCGCGTTGGTTTCTACATAAGTGCAATGTGGTAAGCATTAAATTGTATACAGATGCAAGTGTTGAAACTAATGTGATAGATCATTGTTTCTTACCTTCTCATCTCAGCTTGTTGCCGTTTAGCTTGCAATAATTTAATGTCCAAATCATGCGGTCTACTTCGAGAAGAACTAACTCTATTTATACCTCCAATATCACCATTTTCCATTAAGTGTTCATACGTTTGTTTTAACTTGATTGATCCGCTACGAACGCTTCTTCTAATTGATCTGTTAACAATGAATAATGAAAATATTTAAGACATTAAATAATTTGATAAGATGGCAATGGCAACTTTGAGAAATCTTACTTTTTCTGATCTATGCGTAACTGCTTGGCACTGCTGACAGTACCCTGTGGCTTCAAGAGACCTTTTCCCGGTACTGGTATCATAGCAGAATCACCTAACAATAACCTCTGGTTGTTGGAATCACTATAAAAAGATATAAATCATATGCCAATTCTAACAAGTGATAATAAATATTTTAATTTCTACTTTCTACTTACTTTATAATGTAAATAACAGCTGCTTTCTTGAGACTTGTAACAACATTTCTTACTTTTGGTGGATTATTTAAAATTTTTACTGGACGTTGTTTCCTGTAAATCATTTTTGAATCAAAAGTTTCATTAATTTTTTTCACTCCCTCGTTTTCTTCATTTTCCATCTCAAACACAAATTGTCTCATGAAACTTTCGCGTACCTAATTCAACGTACAGAAAAATGTGATTCCATTATTCATGATAAAATTCATATACACAAATAATAAAATGCAATATTTACTTTTGGGAGATTGAAGTCTGATGGTACTTTGTGCAGACATGTCATTTGAGGACTGTCAGGAAATTTTTCAAAGATTCTTAATCTGAATGGTAGAGTTTCTTTTATTTCTGCACTCTGTTCACGAAATTTCAATTGCTTCAATTTCTTGATATCTTCATCCAATTCGAGATTGTCCAAAATAACAGCAACGAACAAACTGAGCACAATCTTAAATAATAAACAGTTACCAATCACACACTATCATTAAAGAGAATATGTATATAAAAATATGTGTTTTACCAGTGTGACAAAAAGATGATATAAAATAAAGTACATAGCAACAAGAGGTGCCATTGTCTCATGTGTACGTAGCATTGTTTCATCCATAACATCAACCCAAGCTTCTTGTGTTAGAATTTGAAACATAGACATGAATGCCTAAAACATTTAGTATCGCTTGTTTATGCAAAAAAAATGTTAAGCAATTTAATTACGTAGTATTCTATATGTTACCTCTGGAAATGTTTCAAACTTCGTAAAATCGCACAGAAAACAAAAAAGCTGCATAGAAATACTAGATGATATAACCAGTAGGCACATTGTAAAAATGATGAGGCTGCCCAACTTCTTTCCTGGGCCAAATATTTTATATACAAAATCTTCTAACATTGGAGATGCTTTTATGAGTCTGACAACTCTAAGGACCTAATACAAAAGTAATATATCAATTAAAAATTGTATGTTTCTTCCTTATCATTTTTAGTAATGATTAAATTTGTTCTTTTCTAGGTCTGAATGAAAGTTGATATAGAAACCTGGAAATATGTGAAGCCAGAAAGGTAGAAGAGTGGAATGATGTGAATGGTAGTACCAATTGCTAATAGCAGCTCGAATTTGTGAATCGAATGCTTGTAATAACTGCGAAATCCCAGGCACCAGATTTTAAACAGTGTTTCCAGATCCAAGAATATGGTAAACGCAATCTCAGCATAATAATAGTTGTCATAGTAAGTGTGACGGGGCTTTTCGTCGTGCTTGAATCTCATGGTTGCAGTGGTGATACCATTTGCTAAGATTGCACACATCACCACCATACGGAAGTGAGGAGATCTAAGGATGGCATGGCATATGGGTGAAGCTAATCCTCCATGTTTATTTTCATCCAAAGTTACCAATTTCCAACCATTATCGTCACCAGTTAATATCTAACAATATTAATTAACTGATTAGTATAAACAAACCTTGGATTTGATCTATAATCTACAATTACTGACTTGTGATGCTGTATTATTACTGATATGTCCTCTGACTCCCCACATCTGTTGAAATTGTACCCGTATTTCATTGAATGTTTCTGTGATAACAGCAATGAAAACATTTTTTACAAGCCATGCAAGAAAAAATATCATTGTGCTGAAGTAGAGAACAGCACGCCAAGCAGGTAAACTATCTATGGCACGGTACATAATAAAAACCCATCCTTCTTGAGATGCAGCTTGATAAACAGTAAAAATGCTGGTAACTGAAAAGTACAATTACTGTTAGTAACATTTGCTTTCCAATATGTATTTGGAATCAAAACATGTGTTATTACCAAATTCATCAAAACCGTTGAATCCTATAATATATTTGGACAACTGGAGTTTCATACAAGTCATCCCCTCTGGACACTGATATCCTGATTCAGGATCAGTAGAACAAAACGTGTCAGGAATGGCTAAACTATTAATTGTTATATGTTTTGGATCTGTTGTATTCAAAACGCAGTGATTTTTTAATTCACCGAAAAACTGAACACCTAACAGACCATACAAGGACATGAAGAAGAGGAAGAAAAGAGTAACATTGTATATCTGTTGGCCAGAACGTCTGAAAAGAACAGTAAGTTATGAAATTAGGAAAAAATCTATATTTTAAAAAGTGCATGCAAGTCTCACTTGAAAATTTGATTGATTCTAGCTTTCGGCATAGAGAACTTAAGGAAGACTCTTAGGAAGCGTATCATGATCAACGGACGTGGTGCTCGTAGTATTGATACGTAACTGAATTTCAAAACAAAGCCTAACATTTCAAACATTTGTAAAATTACAGACAACCAAAGGAAGACAACCATACTCCCATCAAATTGGCACCAGTGATCCTTTAAGTAAGATTTATCCCTCTGCAATGGAACATTAATCAGTCAACATTAAGCTTCATGTAAGAATTATGGTACACATTACTTACCTTCAGTATACCTCGTATATGCATTTTGGCAATCATTTCAGCAGTAAATAAGAATGTAATAATTAAATCGCAAACAAAGGTTACATACTGAAGAGGTGGAACTTTTTCAAAAGTCTTTGGAGTATTTAAGCAAACAGAAGCTAAAGACATTAAAGCACAGGACCTCATCAACCTTCTAACCCATAGCTGCAATGATCAGATAATTATGGTATGAAGTAAGATAAAATGATAAAATATAAATTACCTTATTCACCCATTCTATGTCAGCGCTCTCATTGAGGGACTCCTCTGGCCCATAATCGGCCAAGACGGGTTCCCCTTTGAGGCTCTGCTTGCGCCCCAACATCATAATAGGAATTATGTTCGCAATGGTGAGGCCTGTAATTGTAAATATTTGCAAATAATATTATTGAATGTAGTACTGTAAAACATAAAATTATTCTGACAGTAACCAGTATTAAAACAAATAATTATATAGCTTCATATTGATATTAAGTGTGTACAATAATGTACACAAATTTTATTTAAACAAAAAACTAAAAACATTATGAGTTCATGAATATAATTATATAATGGAAAAATTAAATAGATATATATAAAGTTTACATAATGCAGTGTTCAATTTTTACAATTACATTCTTATGATACAACTGAAGATGTGTAAAATGTGTGACCTGAAACATCGAACTGTTCTAATTATTTTGTCTATAAATGTAATCTGATTGACCTACCTTTTTTTAACAATTTGGACGACGACGAATACTGCCTTTACGGCAATTCATATAGACTACATTTCAGTATAAAGCAACAATAAAGCTTAACGCGTAATAAACATTTTATTAGTAACAACAAGCTAGCGGCATGGTGAACATTTTTTTGGTTGAGTTTCGAGCTTTCAAGCGATAGTGAAAGCTTAACGAGCATGAGCAGTAGAGACATCGTCGCGAGCAAATCAATATTTTAAATCTTGAATGAAACGCGCGCTGCTCGACATAATCCAACTTGCTGTAAGTAATTTATTTAAAATAACAAATTGTAATGCAAACATTGCACTGTCTTATTGTCAATATTTACTGCTAATAATTTTTCTTATTTGAAGCAAATTATTCTAATTCGTTCAAGGTTTGATGTAAATAATTACATACATATACGTTATCTTATCATTTTTATTTTGAAATGACTTTATATAATATATATATATATAAGTTTATAGCATGATATATTGTAATTATAGTATATAAAAAATATATATATTTTTTAAATCATAGCATTAATTCAGTATTAAAAAATATTTGTTTTTCTGTTCAAAAAATGAGGCAATAAAATGTGCGTAATATACTTTCAAAAATACTTATCGTTTGTAAAACGGAATTAGTTCTTTCACTTGTTAATTATAATACTATTGTTAATATTGTTAATTGTTTTATATAGCTTTATTTGTGGCAGCCATCATTTTTGAAAATTCCGAGTTTGAGTTGGATAAAAGTACTGATGGTGCATCAAATTCAATTATTTGACCATTCCTCATTACAATAATACGATCACACGATACAACAGTCTTTAGACGGTGAGCAATTGTTAACGTAGTACAATTTGAGAATTCGTTTTGTATTGTACTTTGTACAGCAGTTTCAGTCTCAGGATCAACAGCAGCTGTTGCTTCGTCTAATACCAACACCTAAAATTTTTTTATTTAATTATATAAAATTTTTAAATTAGTTCGCAAGTTTAATGTACTTTGCATTCTCGTACTTTGGCATTACGTAAAAGTGCTCTTGATAAACAAAATAGTTGTCTTTCCCCGACGCTTAAATTGTTTCCACCAACTTCAACAAATGCATCTAATTGACCTGATATTGTTTTCACTTTTTCTTTTAACTTAGTTTTTTCCAAAGCACTCCAAATCTCAGAATCACTGTATTGTTTAAAAGGATCTAAATTTGATCTGCAATTTGTATAAGTATAAACATTATCAAGTTTCTGACCCAGACTCTTATTTTACAATCTTTCTGTTTATTTCTACCGTATAGTTCCATTAAACAAAACTGGATCCTGAGGAATTATAGACAATTTGCTTCTTAGTAGTTCTAAATTCACTTTTGATATATCTATGTCATCAATTTTAATTTTTCCGGCGGATATTTCAACCAGTCGAAATAAAGCGACAATCAGAGAACTTTTTCCAGCGCCTGTTCTTCCCACGATACCTACAATTTATTAGATTATATAAAAAACATTTTTATAATTTTAAAAATATTTTTATGTTACTGATACCTATATGTTCTCCAGGTTTAACCACAAATGAAATATTATCTAATATTGGTGGTAATTCTTTCCTGTACTTTAACTGCACTTTGCGAAATTCCAATTTGCCATAAGCAGGCCAGTCGTTCGCAGGATTCACAGCATCTTTTTTGGGAATATCTTCATTTTGCAAAGTCTGTACATACGGTTATTCGTGGGATTATATTGTAACACAATTATTAATCATAATTGTTACATAAATATTTATTTACCCTGAAGTAATAGCTTATTCGTTCAATGCTTATAAATCGTGTTTCTGTTTCTGCCATTAATCTTACAGTGTACTGAAAAACGCCTGTCATTTGCGTAGCATATGCCATTGCTAAACCAGCTAGAGCTGGAGATAGTTGATTTCTGAATGCTATTACAAGAAATGAAACAATAGAAGATGAAGCTACTGCTAGACCATCAAGTCTCACTGCAGACCATCTCATTGCTGACTGACACAGATAAACACACAGACTGTTTAAATCAAATAATTCCTCAAACCTAAAATATTGCAATACAACAGTGTCCTTATTTTTTATCCTTCTTAAATAATAATGCACATTATTTCAAAAAGCATACTTGGTTACAAATGTTTTTTCCTTTTGAAATGCATGAATTGTACTTAATCCATGAATTGTGGTTGTGACAAAACTCAGAACAGGAGATCGTGAAGTACTTTCCATTCGCTTGAAATCTCTCATTGCTACCCTACAATAATTTATTATATTAATTTATTAGATGATACAACATACCGCACTTATAAAAATCTTACCGAAAAACTTTGCTGACATAAAAGAATGTGACACCCACAATGATTAATAGCAAACAAAACCAAGGTAGTATGGAACATATGAAAATAATCGCAAAGCTGCAGGTAAAAATATTCTGTACCATATTTTCTACAGAAATTGGTATATAATTGTCAACTACAATAAAAGACAAATATAAGTACATAAACATTAATGCCTATAAAATCATTCCAAGTACTTTACCTTCATCGATATCTCGACTAAAAATGTTTTGTATTCTTCCAATGGGAGTCGTTTCAAAAAATGTTAACGTGGTTCTGATTATTTTGTTAAAAACTTTATTATGCAGTGCTGTTGAAGCCTTTATTGTAGTGTATGTAATAGCTAATCCACGTAATAGACTCGTAAACAAAATAACTCCAATGCAAGAAGCATAAACGTTTTGATAATATGTGAAATCAGGATTGTCATTCAAATTATCAGATACTGTAGTTTCATTCGTTTCAAGATTTGTGACGTTCTTAAAAAGAAGAACACATAAAAGAAAAATATAATATACATACATACATTTTGCATATATTCATGAAAATATAAAACATATTTACTCCACCGCCAGCCTTAATCCATACAGCTAACCACCAAGTACTAAATGCAGAACTTCCAACATTTAGAAAAAGTGTAAAAAATACTAAAATAGCCACAAAATAACCACCCGCAGCTTTCACATATGTATGATACGTATGTGCTTTTACCGTACCCGTTTCCGTTTTCTCTTGTGTTGTAAGAGATACTCCTACATGATATTTTGAAATTTAATATTTTTGAGGAAATAATATATAGTTTTATGATACGTACCTTTTCCATGTGTTTCTTTTGACACATCACCGTTATTCGCAGAGTTGAATTCTATTTGTTTTGTCAAATTAAAATGTCCACTATCTGTTCGAGATATCATAGAATTTTCGCTACATAAATTTACAATGAGGAAGATTACTTACATCGTGAAAATTATAATTTTAAGAAGTAGTTTACAGAATATAGCATACTCTTTCATATTATTTTCCGTTTTTAATACTGCACTGTTTACCATTGTAGCATATTCCCCATTTAAATGCATCAGTTCATCATGTGTACCTTGTTCCACAATTCTTCCTTTGTTCATTAAGTAAATTTGATCACAGTGTTTTAAAAACTGTTGTTAATAAGATATTGTATTAATTATCAGTGACTGAATTTTACACATGTTAATAAAATATTAAATTATGTAATACATACTTGAACTTGGTGTGTTACAAAAAGAACGCATTTGTTCTTAAGTGCTCCAAGAATTAAATTCTTAAAAATATAAGAACCTACATGTGCATCCACTGCACTCAATGGATCGTCCAGAAAATAAATATCTCTTTAATTAAAAAGAGGCATTTTTGAAACTGTAATAATCAATTTCCAGAAGATGTTAAAAAAGTTCTCACCTATTGGCATAAAGTGCTCTGGCAAGAGCAACTCTTTGCTTCTGGCCTCCTGAAAGATTTATACCTCTTTCTCCAATTTCAGTCTCATCCCCCCCTGGTAATAAGTTCAAGTCTTCCTTTAAATTACAAACTGTTAATGCTTGGTAATATCGTTTGGCATCGAACGAATTTCCGAACAATATATTTTCTCTAAGAGTTGCATTAACAATCCATGCTTGTTGACTAACATAAGCACAGGAACCTTCTCTCAGTATATGACCACTTATCATTTTTAATTGCCCTAAAGCTGCGAGCAATAGACTAGACTTTCCACTTCCTACAAGACCACAAATTCCTATTAATGCACCTTTTGCTGCCCCAAATTTAATATCAGTCAGCACTTCCACGTGTTCCATTTCTTTAGAAGATTCATTGAGATTTTCTAATTCGCATTTATCTTTTGAACTGCGAGCAATTTTTCTAGAATAAATGTAAAAGTGTATTAATTAACAGGATAAAAAATAACATGGAAATGTCTGTAAGCGAAAAAAACTTACTTTTTATCTTTATTACTTTTTGACTTGTTAGTGTTTAAAGTGGAGTTTTTATAAACAAATGTACCATTAGCAACAGCTACAGCTTGTGATTTCACAATTGGTTTCGATATTTGGCATGTGTGCTCTTCTAAAAGCAATACATTCTGCACAAATATTACTAATTATTAGAGGTGTACATAGATGTTTATAATCAAAATAGTTTATTATTCAAATCAAAGCATCTTTCAAACATATTTTCTCAAATAACTACTTCCTTCAGCAAAAGCTATTTAACATTTAATGCAGTGCCCTGTAACTTGAACAGTTTAAAGCAGTTGATTAGTATCAACATGTTAAATTTTGTTTAGTATAAAAATTTATAGTCATGACTTTATTATAAATGATATTATTTCAGACGTAACTAATAAAAATTAATTGTGATAGAAAGCCATTAACAATAAAACATAATATTCATCAAGCTAATATATGAAGCATAACATGTAGCTATGTGCAGATACTAAACATAAGTTACAATGTGACAAACATGCATATGCAATAGTACTAAATTTAAAGCAATACACATTGTTGCAATATTCCCATATTTCTTAAACAAATACCGAGTATAAAATAAGAAACGTCAAATAATGTATAATGTGTCATGCACCGTGTTAATATAAGATTAACTTTTTAATTTTATATATATTTCATAAATGTTATTTGAAGTGACAAGTGATTTCATACTCTATTATTAGGATTAGTAATAATGATTAACAAAATAGGCAAAAATATACACCTGAATTCTGTTGAGTGCTATTTTTGATTCAGTGATATTAATTAAGGCCACTTGTAAAAACATGAAAGAGGAACGGAACTGAGAATTGAGTAATGATACGAGGGGAAACACCTGGAAAAGTAATACAATTTAAAATGATAGCTCAGATATTAATTTCATAATGAATTGTTCCCAAATATTTTCATGTATATTGTTATAGCCTTATTTTACTTTTAAATTGCTAAATTATACTGTATATGTTGATTATCACAAGGAGGAGTAAGAGAAAAAGCAATTCTTCTAAACTTATTTACACAACATGCAGCACTTTCCCCTTTACACCTGCGACTGTTATTAAAAGCTCCTTAACCGTACGTTATCAATGAAACAACACCCGTGCAAATTATATCTATTTCCCTTTTAACTTCACAATAATTAAAAAAAAAATTAGTCTCATTTAAAATATACGAGAACTTGTTTGTAAAAATTTCCAAGACCTTGAATCTTCTAAGAGCAATACGAGCGTCGATAAAATATCGTGTGGTATCCTTAAGGGACGCAAGTGCCAATCTCAGCATATTTCCAAAAAATGTTATAATTGGGAAAGCCTGCAATATATTTATGTTTTGTGGAAGAAATGTTTCTGTTCATTGAAATGCTGATAAATTTAAAATTACTTATTCCAATATTCCTCCGACACCGCTTAAATTAACAATTTAAAATAATTTCTTGTGAAATATTAAAATTATTCAGTGATTATTCATACATTAATTTATACCTGTGCTGCAGTCAAATTACTGCCTGAAGATAAATGAGCTAAAAATGTAATAATTGCTGATACAACAGGTACAGCAGGTGTTAAAGAAATAGCGAGACTTTGAAAATATACAGTTTTATGTAACCAGTATTCTTCTTTTTTTCGTATATCTGAAAGATAATGATCGCAATATAGTAAAATAAATAAATTAATAATAATATTCGTTACAGTTCATTTAAAAAATACCAATCATACCAAAAAGTTTGTCACTGAAATATTTCTCCCAGGAACACATTTTAATTAGTTTTATACATTCTAAGATTTCACTCATTAATTTCACTCGTGTATCAGTAATTACGACAGTCTTGGAACGAAAATACCCTACTACACGAGATATTAGATACTGTGGAAGTAAACATTGATTTGTAAAATCATTAATGAATATGAAATAGATAAGGCGTTTGAAAAGAAGAAATACTTACCTGACAAGGGTAGAATAAAAGAAAGGCCATTGTTCCAAAAAGAGCCCATGGACTTAACACCCATAATATATAAATTACACCACAAGTAACAATTATGGGACCACTTATTATCATAGGTCCATAAATGATTACATCAAAAAGTCTTTGACTATCATTGGTAAATAAATTAATCAACTACAATTTTAAATAATAATAAATGCTAACTGAAAAGTAATTATTTAATAACATTTGTGCTTAAAACAATACCTCTCCTGTACTTTTATTCCCAAGACTATTCAATCTAATGATCTTTTTGTACAACAGAGTGGTACAAGCAGATTTTAATCTCAATGCTGTTCTAATATTTGTATTCCATGTCCAAGTAAAAAATACTATTCGTAAAAGATCACAGCAAGTTAATAAGGATGCCCACTTTATACCTGTCCATATATCTTCCTCGGGTGATTGAACATGTTCTAATATTCTTTTCATCAGTATCATCTAAACAATACAATTGATAAATTGAATTTTAACACTGAATTTGTAAGTGACATAAAGTATTCATTGTTTTATGAATAAATGAAAACTCTACAGGACTTATAAATCCAAGAATTGTAGAACAAGTTAACAACAGCCATGCTATACATATTCTTGTTCGCACAAATTTCCAAGCAACAGTTGGAAATGATGCAGAATGTGGACCATGTTTACTTAATTCCTCTTGCCAAAGTACTTCCAATCTAAACATGAACTTATTATCTTAAAAAATTTATTATTATTAATTATTTTATAATAAACTGTATAATTACCTTTGTGCATTATATTTGCATGTTTCATAAGATGAAATATATGGTATATCTGTTATGTCGATGTGCTTTTTGTATGCTTTCCATATGTAAGGTGTCATCCATGTATAAAAAATGTATGAAAATAAACCAGCACTATCTGCAGGCATACTTTCTTTGTCCCTGAAGTATACAATAAAGTTATACTTAAAAACACAATTCTTCTAAGGAATTGTACTATTACATATACACACTGTTGCCCATGACGTATTGGTATAAGATTCTTCAAAGCTGGATTATATCTATTCATATCAGATCTACGAATATATTCTACAGCTATTTTTGGTGAACGTGAATGTACACCAGGAAGTAAAAAATGTTGTCCATCCATATCATTGTATCTGAAAAAATATTAACTCATTATTTAACATTAAAATTTATAAGAACTATTACTTTAGAACATTCATTGGTAACATACTGATTCTCATTATCTTTGTTTTGGTCACTGACAAAATTGTTGTCTCCTGTTTTTACTTCCATTACTGCCTTGTAACACTGCGTATTAGTTAAATATACAAATTAGAGGTATATAATACATTTGTAAAAGTAAACTGTAATAAACATAAAAGTTAAATAATAACATAAAACAATTTGTAAAGTGATATTTAATAGCTCTCAATTTGTTAAACAACATAACACTATAACACATGTCAGCATAGGTATCAGTACAATGCACATCCTCAATTATATGCTTTGACAAACTTATCAGCAACAATTACAGTTTCAATAGTACATAACTATAATTTATGAATATATGGAAATTAAATTACCAGTGTTGGTATGAGAAATTAGTACCTCAATTATTGTTTACATTTATTTTAAAAAAAAAACAATCAAATTTAGTTAATTTATAGAGCTCCGTGTGTATCGTATAACTTACTTGAACACACTACAATATACATGGCACATATTACTTGCGTTGTAACGCTGATAGACAATCTAATCTTTTCTAATCAACAATAGGTAGATCAAAATATGTAAGACTGAACAAATAACTGCTTTTAAATTTCCGCGTAAAATTCTGCCCTCTAATGATAAATTGTAAACTCGCAGATGAACTCACGTGAACCATACAAGATAACGTGTGAGTGAGTGCGACGTATGTAAATAAATACAAATACATGAATTTCAAACGCAAGGACAGAATATTTAAGTGTATGTAGGATTATTAAACGAGGAGGAGTAAAAGTTAATATGAGAGGGAGACTATAGTAGACCATAGTATGCCCAAATATAATTGGTTGCTTATCGTTTTATAAAGTACTGATTGATTCAAATTTTAATATATAAGATTTAAAAATATTGATTTTACAAATTTTCAAAGTTTTAAATTTAGACATTTTCGAATTTTTATATTTAGAAATGTGAAATGTTCAAAATTAGGAATTCGTACTCGTAAGCTGCGCGCGAAATACTCTATAGAGGGAAATATAAAAATATCACAGTTGCATTCTCTTAACAATATATAATTATAATATAATTTATAATACAGGTTACATTTATTGTGCTAACATGTGCGTGTAAACAAGGATATAAATATTCCTTTCTCCAGTCAACTCACGCACTTTATTCTTCTATCTCCATGAATGCACGTGACGTAATGATCATAAATTAACCTGATATGTTGACAAGTTTTAAATGTTTGACTTAAGCGAACCAATGATGCTTTCATTTAGTGTTTCTAACTACGAAAAACAATAAAAATACAGAAGCATAAGAAGTACTTTGCAAAGAAAAATATTAAAGACGCATACGTCATATCAGTGTAATGACAGCTTTATGAAAAATGGGTATTATTCTTTCATGATTCAATACAGATTCTCGTAATATATTTAAACATACTTAATATTGGAATTAAGATTAAAATAGTTGAATTTCAAAAGTTTATTTTATTACGAACACATATTTAAATAATATATTTACTTACGTTTCATTTAAGAAAAATATTAAATTCTTCCGAGCTGTCGTACAGAATCTGCTATTACAGGTTCAGTTCAATTAATTTAGATAACATTAATAATCTTCAGTCATATCAAAGATTACTTATTTGCTCATATATATACCTTATACACTTTTGAATAGCGTGAATTGCGCGACGAGATATTTACGCACGTATAAATTACAATTACTTGATATAGTGTGGCATACTGATTGTGTACGACGACCCTCCTTATTTCATGATCATATTCATCAGAGTTTAATATAATCTGTACACTGCGATCTGTACGCTCGTTTACAACAATTAAATTGTAATGTCAGTACAGTGGAATCTCCTTATATGGCCATGAGACCTGATTTTCAATCTTACCATCAGTGCCATAGTTTGGGAATTGCAAATTATTTTTTTAATTCAAAAATTCAAAATTTTTTAATTCCTCAATTTGAAACTACGTTTAGCAATGGATTCGCAATCATATTCATAATCGAGTATACAGTGTTTAATCAGTTATGATTAATTATAATAATTAATTATGATAAAGAAGATATAATGAAGGATCTTTAGTCAAGATAATATTTATTGTTACGTTTTATAAAACATGAATCACATCAAACATACTCCATTCCTAGTAATTTCATGCACAAGTTAATAACTTCTAAGGATACATTTTACCTTTTCAATATAGACCCTTCTCACGTACAAAATATAAGGTCCTAAACGGATACAAGCATCCCCACATTGTTTACAACATTCATTTCCATAATGAAAAAAGAGTATTCTATTCTTGTTAACTTATGCATAGTGAAATATGTTTAAGTTGTCTTCAAAAAACTTGTGAAGCTAAACACGCTACGAGAGAACTGAAATTCGTTTAAAAGCAGAACTACTCGTTTAAATGCCGAAAATGGAATATAGTCCAATAGTATTTAAAGTACATTAAATCATTTATCATACTCGTTTTCATATTTTTGTATATATTGTTAAATATTTCCTTTACCTAACTATACTCTTATCACGTGTATCATTTAGAATAATAGTATTTGATTAAAGTTAACGTAAACTTTATAAATGTAACTGTGAATTATTATTCGAATAGTATATTACAGAATGGACCATAATCGTTGAGGTTCCTTTGAATATAATCTAATTATATCCTGTACGAATGCAATCATTATCTCTAAATTTATCAATAACTTGGTGTTGAAGCTGTTATATAATTTATAAATATGCTTATTTTCTAGTACTATTAGAATTTGGAACACTTTTATGAAATCTTAATGAAACAGCAGACGTACAATGTACAATATGTAAAAGCAGAAGAATGTAAGTCATAAAAGTTATACGATATCTTTTTCACGATACTTTATGAAAGTGTGATGTCTTTTATAAAGCTGTACAAATTTATAAATTAAAATACACATTACTCCAATGGTTTGAGAAAATTCTTTATAATTATAAATTTTTATACAAACGAATGAAAATGAAAAAAGAAATGGAACATAACTTGTGACCTACCAAACTCGTTCACGAACATTTTATCAAAACCGAAACATAATCTTTATGTTTTGTTCACGAGTAATATGTAAGTAATTTGTAAAATAATGTCTAATTGAACGCAATACAAAACAAGGTTCGGCTGATATAATTCGGTGTGTCAAAACTTTGATTTGCGAAACACTTTATCGTCGGTAGCGTAAGAAACGCGAAACCCGGCCTCAAAAACTATTGTAATTGCTTCCTCCTAACTGAGAACCGAATCCTCTATTATTTGGGGAATATCCTGGCCTGAAGTTATTGCCCAGACCTAATAACGTAAATATTTCTTTTAGTATAATAAAAACATATTTTTTAACAACATACAAGACGAAATTAAAAAAATAGGATATGTAACAGAAATTTATCTTGTGAAAAACATACCTCCGCAGAAGTTACCAATACCACCTAATGACATTCCACCTGAACCTCCAGTTGAATTTAGGAACAATTCGATGTACCTATGAGACATGTGACTCTTATCCTGTAACAAATTTTTATAATGATAGTTTATTAATTAAAAGTTATAGTCTAGCCAGTAATTTAGTCAACATTTATTAAACGAACTTTGGACATGGCTTTCATAGCCTCCTCGTGAGTAGCAAATTCGACGTCAGCTTCCCCAGAAGGACGACCACCATTTTCAAGAATAATTCGTACGTTTACTGGCTCAATGGGTCTAAAGAACTAGAATCACAATAAAATTTTTGTTATAACAATGATACACGTGGTTGCAGTGTTTATTTCTTTAATATAAGACTCTTACGTCAGCTATATCTTGTTCTGTAGCTTTAAATGGTAATCCGCGCATGTGTATGCTATGAATTCCAGAACCACCACCCCATGCATCACCATTGCCTCGGAAATTTCCTTTCATGTCCATACCACCTCGCATACCCATACCGCCTCCACGTGAGTCGAAGTTATTACCTCCCCACGGGCCACCATCAAAATCTGTATAACATAGTAGTCAGAATGTTCAAATTTTAAGTAATGTATATAAGAAAAAAGGGGAATATAAATCTGAATTCGTTCTTTGCAGAATTTGTAAGATTAAATGTTTATGGATTTATATTACCTCTGTTTCTAGAACCTCGGCCATTATTGCTAAAGCGGTTCATTCCACCGAAACGAGCACCCCGGTCATAGGGAGCGGGTCTTTGATTAAAACCGCCCATTGGTCCTCGCATTTTAGGTCCAATGCTAGCTCGTACTTCAGACAAAGTGCTTCGGAAGATTTCGATGTATCTGTTAAGAGTTGATATTAATTATTAGAAATCTTCGTATCATATTACTGCCGCTTATGCCGGCTGCCTTCAAACTGGAGAATTCAATGCAAAAGTATAAGTGAGCACAAGTCCGAATTTTTAAACAAAGAGGAAATATGAATATCCAAAAGAAATCTGCGCGTAGCAAGAGTAATCGACGTATACGTATATGAAAAAGAAACGATCCGAAGAAAAAGTCCATATTGAAGATTCTATAACAGATAACTGTTCATACTACACCTCCACGTATTTATTAAATCTGTGTAGATACCCTCCCTCGGTGACATTGCATTTTGATGTATTTATGTCACCCTAGCCTTTGAGACGCTGATGATCCTCAGGTATATGACAATTACAATTGCACTTTATGCAATTTTAATTTCATCAAAAAACAATATTGCAAGTATCGAGAAGCGACACAATCAAAACAAAGTATTTGAAATCAACAAAGTCTAACAATCTTAAGGAAAGCTAAAATATCAGAATTAGTGTATACTAGGAATACAAGGATCTAGAGATCTAGAAGTGTTGGAATTTAGAGACATTTGAAAACAGGAAAATTTAAATATAGTGTAATAAGGCATAGGAATTTAAAAACAATTGTTTTGATACAACATGAACTCATGTATCGCTTCTATAGTATAGATTCTACTATATCATTACAACGAATATATCCGTGCAATGCAAGCTATAATTCACTATAGTGATCTTATGAAACTGTGCAAAGCCTCTCAGCTTAAATTGGTACCACTTTTTTGCATAAAACGTACAATTGTGCAATTGTCAAACTGATGTGCCAAATTAGATCGATGGTTACCACCTCTGTAGTGCCCACCCATCCTGGGTTAGCCCTACCCACACTCCCATGGGATTTGGTGACGATGTAAGGGGGTACCTCCCGCCCGGCACCCACCCACAGGTATCCGTTTGGGCCAACAGTACTTTCGCTTACGTACGACTAATTTTTTTTTATTCGTGTTCACAGAGAAGCAGTTTCTTTATATAATATTGCAACATAACAATAAATGTAATCAATGAGTAAACGGACTACCAGTTACATTTATAGTAAATTGACTTTAATAATGAGTGCATTAAAAGATAATAAAGAAACTGCATCCGTTTAAAAACTCGTTCCCGCTATTTACTAACAAAATTTATATACCTACGTATACTACGATCATAAAATGATATTGAAAAGTCATAAGTATACCCAAACCCAGCTAGCGTCAGTGCCCCACCTGTGTCCTATCTTTTCCTTGTGTTTCTGCAGAGCGCGCTCCGCAACATCTTTGTTAACAAACTGAACGTAAGCCTCCCCAGTACTGCGGCCCGTGTAGTCTGTCGGTAGTGAAATCCCGTTCGGCAATATCTCCAACCCTGACCCACACATAATCAAACATCGACATTGTAGCGAAACACCCATTATTAATTATAGTATCGTCAGTTTTATTAAAACCCTTATAAAGAAGCAAGATTTAAATATCCTTTGCACATTATGTGCAGAACTTCTCGCTCCAACAAAAAAAAAAAGAAAAAAAAGATATAAATATATACTTTATAATTAAGTCAAGAAAAAAGATGTTACTACGCCGTAGTTAAGAATTAAGTTCTACCTTTAAAACACAAAGATATGTTATATAAATAAAATATAAAGTACATGTAAATTATAACAAAAATCTTTTAGTCTGTACAGGGTAGCATAACAGGAATTTTGGTCTTCAATCTTAAATCTTAACTCAGGCTATTTAATAATAATGAAACACAAAGACAATGCTTGAGACATAACAGAAATTTTGTGAATATTATTTAGCCTTTATTTAAATATTATGAACTTTAGTGCAAAATTATTATCTTATTTTTAATTATTGATAATACTATTGCATACATGCATTGTAGTCATCAAAAACATTAAGTCTCTGTGATTCAAAATTTCTATTAATTAATAAAATACAACAAGGAAATAATGTAACTATAAAAAAGGGTATACTGGTCTTCAACAAGGTTGATAAATGAACTAGAAATATATTGTAGTAAAAGATATAAATATAAATTTGTACAAATTGTACAGAATACCTGAGAAGAATTGTGCTATCTCCTCTTTAGAGCATCCAAATGGTAGACCACGTAATCTCACGCAAGCATCATCCATTGCATTTTCCAGATTGAAACCACTTCTTTTGACTACCCACTCCATCTCACCTCTTTTTGCTTTAAAGACTGCAATGAAAGAAGACAGTCAAACATTTGTCCTTTAACCCCTTTCAATTCCTATACTTATGATGATAGCAAGCACTGGTATTTATAAGAAAAATGATAATGCAATGGACACAGAATATACAAACATTGGTATACATAAAAGGCACATACATATACCTACTAAATTTTCCTTCATCACATTTATTATATTAAGTTCTACTTGTTAAAATGCCATACATGTGCTAATGGATTTTTTCAGTGCATGCTATAACCAAAGAGTTAAATACTGGAATATTTATTTTGTTTAACCTTCTATATAACGATGACCCATATGATCTCTATCTCTTTTACAAGCCTTTTCAATATCTTCAGGTGTGTCCATTTCTACATAAGCTTCTCCACTAGGTCGACCTTCTCGAGACATAGTCATATGAACACCATTTTTACCATTTGAGATAGAACAGTCACTGAAGAATTTCATAATTTCATCAACAGTAGTGGACCATGGAAGTCCACGCAATTTGACTACATAGCCTTCGTCTTCGTGATCTCCACTACCGTTTGACATGGCTTCTTTCTATAATAAACTATATTGTAAATAATATAAACATATTATAATGTCCTTTTCTTCATTACAAAATAATATTATTCAATAATTATTTATTTTTTAAATTTGATTTTCATTTTATTAATTTAATGATTTTAATATTATTTTATTATAACTTATTACTTTTGCATAACTTGTACTGTTATGTACGACTTTATTGATAATAATAGAGGTTCGTAAACTTGAAGGTCATACCTAAGTACACAATGAAACAAAAATATATATACAAATATAGATATTATGAAAATTATCATTATACTTCACAAATTGCAAAGAAAATAAAAAAAAAATACATAGATGAAGAATCAGCGTTGAAAAAGATCGGAAAAAATCTTGATATAAAACTCTTAATATCATTAATATTCTGTCAATTTTATAAAAAAAAATTATTTATCTTTCAAATTATAAATATTCTATGATTACTTACGGACTTTCGACGTTGAAATATTACTTAAGAGAAATTATAAATTAAGTTAATTGACAGGGAATGCTGATCCGCCACCACGCTCTCCAAACCCAGCAGTAAAATGGCGCAAAAATGGCGTTCGCTTCAACGAACTTCAAAGCTAGTTTACATGTACCAAAATAATTGACTTGCCGATTCGTATTAGTGTACAGACTAATTAATATTTTATAAACCGTAGAAATTAATACAATATTTTAATCATAACAAGACGTTAATAAATGGCAATATTTAAATGCTTCTTTTCTTTGTAATACAAAATAAGAAAATTAGTGTTTGTAAATTATTAATGAAACTAAGGGATTCAACCCACTTCAGAGAATAAGTCTAGTTACGGCAATGCTTTTAAGACCAAATGGATTTCTTCAAATTTTTAAGTAAAAGTAATTTTGATGATTATTTTCTTCTCAAAATCCATGATATTTTAAAATTAATTTCCATTTAATACAAAAATTCTTTTCTTACTTTACCAAAATATTTATTTAAGCATATGAATGTATTTTGTAATATAATTTTTATCTATTAAGATAAACTCAACATTATAAAGAACATAAATTTATGATGACATAATTCCTTAGTATATGATATTAAAAATTGTACTAAACATTAATTGACTTAATAATTAATCAAATAAATAATTTAATTTCAACAGTTGTATAACAAAAGAACAAAGCATATAAAACATATGGAAGTTCATTTTTTATTATGTGATAAAAGCAATAAATTTTGTAACATTAAATCTCTGTCAGAATGAAGACAACCAATACACATTTGAAAAAATTGAGAAACATTAGATAAGTTATCAATATTACTATATAATGTTAATATAAAATTGTAACGCCATATCAATGGTTCTAGATCTATAGAGAAATGAAGTAATAATAAAAATAAATTTCTAACAGTACTCCAATTTTTTTGAGTAACATGTGACTTCATTTCAGAAAGAATTCTGTGTTTTGAAAAACACATGGAATACTGCCTTTCGCTTCTTTTATAACAATGCATAATTTTACATTGCGCAGATACATCCTGAGCTTTTTCTGCTTCTTCTATTTTTCTTTTCCTTGTTGTCCTTTCTTGTTTTTCTGACCAAAGTAACTCAATGGCTTGATTCTGAAAATAATTAAATTTTAAGTAATTGTCTATAAATTTATAATGAAAATTTTATTTCATGTACCACTTTTTCTCTTCTAATTTTCTGCATTTTATATTTTCTCCAACGACATTGCTCAATATAATATAATACAATGTTTCCTGTGAATGCAATAAATTAAAGTTTTATATCAATTTGATATTTTTTGTGTAGTTGTAAACAGTCCTAACTCATATAAACTACATTGCATTTGATATAGCTCCGACTGATTTCAATAGGTTCCATTACTACGCGCTTTCCATTTCGTTTATTATATACATGGTAGCAGCGATACGTAAATGGGAACAAAATTAATAATATAGAATGTATACAAAATAAAAAATCACTGGATATATATGCTCGATGTATGATTCCGAGATGCGCAGAATGAATGAAAATTCATTATATAATTACTATAGTATGTTGTTGAACAAAGTATAGTAAATACGTTCTCTAATGACGGAGACTATAACATTGTACCGGTTTCAAAAGTGTTAAGTAAATCTTAATTTTCAAATAAGATCGGACTTAATATGTTGTGTGCTGTATTCTATTATACAGTGTGGAATATTTAATGTACTCGACAATTCTGCTGAGTTAATTTTTTAACTATATATTTTTTGGTATCCAACAGTTTTTACAAATAATATAATTTATAATATTCGTATCAATATGTGTACAACGGTGAAAAATAAAAAATATCAGGTAAAATTTAATAAATTTAGTGAACTAATTTATAAGCAATGAAGTATTATTTTAAACTATTTTTAATAAAATCATACAGTTCTGTATCTGAATTAGCAAAAATATACCTAACAAAAATGCATTAATTTAAATAAATATTTTTGTTAGAACTATTTTAACTAATTAGAATTAATTTTCTAAACAAAATTTTCTAATAGCAAAATTTATATGTTGATCATATATTTATTTTGTCTTGTGTAATGGTTTATTATAAAATTTTTACTTATAAATGTATAAATGTATGAATTGCTAGTTAACTGGTTACCACAAACGATACTGTTATCAAATTATATTATCAAAATGATAAATTTGTGTTGATTTCCTATAATGACTATCGCAATGTATATTTTTGCTGAAACAAGTATGTTTTAGACTAATAAAACATTAGTCATTTTTTCTGATTTTATTGTTTTTGATAATATTATTTTCTTTTTTAGGAGAATAATACTTGCAAAACAGTATGTGATGCAATAAAAAATTTGATCAAATACTTCTTAAAATGTATGATCATTCAATTCCATACAGTATTTGATTATTTAATAGACTTAGTTTTTGGATTATACTATAATAATAAGTCACAAAAGGTTCCACCAATAAAAAATGATTTGTTGTTGATGAGTGCATCACAGTTAGCTGAAAAGATCAGGTACTTTTTATATTAACATTTAGGTTTCAGGACTTAACATAATTAACAAAAGAAATGTAGGATAATAGTATCTACGTGTATAAAATTGCAATATATAAATATTTTTGTAGAACAAAAAAAGTATCTTCTGTAGAAGTTGTTACAGCATTTATAGAAAGAGCAAAAGAAGTAAATGGTATAATAAATGCTGTAGTTGAAGACAGGTATTCTGAAGCTTTAGAAGAAGCTAAACAAGTAGATCAACTATTACAGAAGTTAGAAAATACAGATTCATTAAAGAAAGAAAAGCCTTTCTTAGGTGTACCATTTACAACAAAAGAAAGCAATGAAGCTAAAGGTAATGTTCATTCAGTGTTTCATTTTATTTTCTATTTTAAATGATGATATCTTTGAAAATACTGAAATAATTACTTTAGCTCATAATGTGTTTAATAAAAGTAATTGTGTAGGTATGCTTCATACAATGGGTTTAATAAGCAGACGTGATTATCGTTCTGAAGAAGATGCTACAGCAATATTATTTATAAAGAATGCTGGTGGAATCTTAATTGCAAAAACAAATGTTCCTGAGTTAAATTTATGGACTGAATCAAGGAACATTTTATATGGACAAACTTGTAATCCATATGATACTACGAGGAATGTTGGTGGAAGCAGTGGTGGAGAAGGAGCAATAATTGCTGCCTGTGGGTCAGCATTTTCTATTGCCAGTGATATTGGTGGATCTACTAGAATGCCTGCCTTCTTTAACGGCGTTTTTGGACTTAAACCAACTTCAGGTTTTTATAGTTTACATGAATTATTATTATGAATATATTTATGTTGGATAATAAAAGTTTTATAATAGATAAATTTTACTACTTCTAAATTTTTAATAAAATTATTTTCAGGTTTAATATCACTAAAAGGTATTGGACTTCGACAAAGTGATTGTCCTGATTCTATGGCACAAGCAGGTCCAATATGTAAGAAGGCAGAAGATTTAACCCCTATTTTAAAAGTTTTAGTGGGGGAAAAGAAATCATCTTTAGAACTTGATACAGTAGTAAATGTAAAAAGCCTTAATATTTTTTACCAGGAAAGTTCAGGTGATATAAGAGCTAGTAAAGTAAGTTCTGAAATGAGAGCTGCTCTTCTAAAAGCTGTGCATCATTTAAAAGAAGTTACTGGATCAGCAAAAAAGGTGTGTGAAAAATTGTATGCATTTAATTGTTACATAATATCGCTTATTTAAATTAATATTTTGTTATATTTGTTTTCTGATTTTATTGCTTACTTGTAATATTTTCAGATAAAAATACCAGGTTCTGAATATAGTTTTCGACTATGGAGGTATTGGATGACCCATGAAGAGGTCAATTTTAAATTAAATATAACAAACAAAAAGGTATATAATAAACACTATTTATATATTTATATAAATAAAAAATAGATTAATTATAACTAAAATAATATTTGTTTTAGTATTGCACAAGTACCAGTGCAGAAATTATGAAATTTTTAACAAGAAAGTCAGAGCATACATTTTCCGTAGTTATGAAATTAATCGATGAAGATTTCTTTCCAAAAGAGAACGCTGAATGGGCAACAAATATAACCGAAAATATGAAAAAATTTTTGTCGGTATGTTTTAATTTGAAGTCACGTATTTCAAACATATGTAAATAAATTTCGACTTTTTAACTAGTATGCTAGTGTAACTATTAAAATTCAATTAAATCTCTATTTTTAGGATAAATTACAAAATAACGGGGTGCTATTGTACCCATCTTCACCTTTTCCAGCCAGTTATCATTATACGGCTTATTTAAGACCTTTTAATTTTGGTTATTGGTGCCTCTTTAATGTCATGAAATATCCAGTTTGCCAAGTGCCTCTTGGTTTAAGCAATGATGGATTACCTGTTGGCATACAGGTAAAGAAATTAAAATTAACTTAATCATTTTGATTGTGAAATAATTTTCTTGTTAATTAATTATGAAATTGTTTTCTTCAAGGTTGTTGCAGCCCCATATAATGATCACTTGTGTATTGCTGTAGCACAAGAATTGGAAAAAGCATTTGGTGGTTGGGTTCCACCGTCTTAATTACATAAATTGAAGTCTGTACAGCTGTTTTAAATTATAACAAACATGTTTGGTTGATAATAATAGTAGTTATTATTATTACAATAGTAATAATAAAATAATAATTATTTTATTATAGTTATTGACATAAATGATAAATCTTTCATTATTATTCTCAAATTAGTTTTTCTTGAAATTAATTTTTTTATGATTTGTTTTATGTTATATAAATAAAATATATAACAGCAAACATTTTGAACGATATATCGCTGATATTTATTACAGTTCTTTTTCGTTTTCGGCGATCTTTATGTATTTTTTTAATTCTGAAAGTTCTGTTACATTCATGATATATTTGGTGATGGTTTATATATTAGATTTATATATTTCAATTGAAATCTGTTATATTACTTGAATATCGAAATATATTAATTGGTTATTATTTGAATAAGAAACTGGTTGATTATACAATTTTCTTTTTTTTAATATTTTTATCAAACAAGTTATATTCGTCAGAAATTTTCTTTAGATACATTTATGTAACTCATGGGACTTAGTGCGCGTTAAATCTAATTACAACAGGGTATTGGAGTAGAATGTCATGTTTTGAGTTTGAATCTATAATTTCACATTTACTTAATTAAATGTACATATTTTAATATATTTTTGTTGAATATTTTATTATATAATATTTATACTGAATACGTGATTGTATAAGACTCATATTTATTAAACTGTTTTTACATTTTTAAATCATTTTTATATAATATTTTTGTTAGATATTGAGGTATATTTTTTCTAATAATGAATTGTGCAATATCATTCCAGTTCTATTAGTTCAAATAAAACTGAACATGATTATGATTAAAATGGTGTTGATTGTAATAATCTATCTAAAACATAAATGAGGTATCAGGCATTTATTATATTATAACTCTTATTGTACAAATTACAGTATGCAAAATAAAGGTGAAAAACAATCTATAAAGTTATGTATATTATGGAGCTATTATTAAAAATGATAAATCATACTACTCATTGTATTACAATGATTCTATATCAGTACAATGCATATGTGACTGTAGATGTAATAGATAAAATGAGATGTGTATACGTACAGTCAAGTGCAATGTAGACTTCCTTGAATGAAGGCGAATGTAGAGGGGCACCCCACCACTCTTCAGTTTTGGGGAATCACGTGTAAACTTGAAATTTTCAAACTTCAAAGATGTTCAAATTCCTAAATTTCCTAAATTTTATACATCTCTAAATTCCAAAATTTTTTAAATTTTCAAATCCTCGAGTTTTCAAATCTTTAATCTTCCAACGGGCTTAAGTCCCCAAATTTCTAAATTTTCAAATCTTCGCATTCTCAAACTTTATAAAATTGCAAAGTTGAAAATTTATTAACAAAAATCAACGAATGACGCCTACTATGTTCGTCAAGGTACAATCACACGTTATATCGCCACGCGTTATACCATGCACTCGTCATTTATTTAATCACGATTCAGTTTTACTTTATCTTGCTCGTGGCTACTCGTGGCCATTGCTGCCTGTGACGACATTGCCCGAAGACTCGTAGTCGAGAGTGGGGGTAATGACGTCGTAGCTCTCGCTCGCTCCATTCACTGACCGGCCGTCGCCGCGAGTAGTCGTTATTCTGTCCTGCTTTCTTCTGAACATCGATACCGTTCCAGGATCTAACGGAATATCCCGGAAGCGTGCTTCAGCCTTTACTATTTCTTTGTGTTCAAACTTTTTCATACGATTTTTTATCAGAGATCATTGTTGTTCTTAGTAGAAAGATCAATTTCAATCGACGCTTTTTAATCAGAGCCTGGAATGTATTTGTGAAAGCTACTTACTCTTGGTCTGTCTTTCTTACTCCCGTGTCTTTGCGTTGTGTGTGCGCTCGCGTTCGCGTGTATGATTTGTGTACATAATAGTATTTGTACGGATTCGAGAAGGTCTTTGGACGCGAAAGGATACGATCGATTACGATTCGTGGAAGGAGATATGACCGTCGCCGGAAAGGTAAGTTCTGATGAATTCTTTTTAATTTTCCGATTTTTCAAAATCAATTAAACGCGTCCAGAGCGTCGCGTTTACTGTTACAAATATCTTGATAATTGCTTAAGGTAAACATCATTTAGAGTTTCTTCACTGGTTTTACTACATTCTTAGAGTTGTAAGTTTACATCAGATACGGTGTTTTGTAGCTTTGATTCTGTTTTTGTTGATCGTAGAAACTGCAAAAAGCATTTTTACCGCGAACATCAAACCCGTATAAAATTGAAAACAGATTTAACGACATTTTTATTATCGGGATTTTGTTATTCTTACGTGGAAAGTTAGACAAAGATCATTTTCGTAACTGAACTATTTTATAAATTGCTTTTTTCGATTGTTATTGAATTTTATATTATTTTTAACTTGAGTTTAATAACTTAGAGTTTTACCTTTCTAATATTTCTTTATTGACAGTAACTAATGTCACCTAAATCGATTAAAATTATTAAATGTCATGTTTAACGATAGAAATTTATGAAATATAATTGCAACTTGTCTTTTTGTGTCTTGTTTATAAACTGACTTGCTAGAGTGGGATCGCGACCTAAATTAGAGCAACGAGATACGATGATAGTATTCTTAACTTTCAAAAATATTTTTTGTCAAACATTACGATATTTTATACCATATTAAGTTGTCGCGATACAATATTTTACATTTACAAAAAATTAACTATAACTTTTACGGTTTTTGTTCTTATTTAAAGCAAACTTTCTTCTTTTCAGCAATAAAGGTACACTATTTTAATTATTATTTACATTTATAATAATAAATTAGTTTTTCGCTTTTGTTTATTTATAATTTGTTCTATCATTTTATAATGTCTATAAATTCACTTTTAAACTCATTGCAGACAAAATGTAGCGAAATTAACGAAAGTAGAATGTAGTTTGAAATTAATATTTACTTAGAAAGCAGAGTTTATTGTACAAACCTTTTATATTTTGATATTAGAAGTTTTAAAAACAAGTTAAAATGCAGTTCCAGTTATGGCGATTACATATGGCCTTACTAAAAAAGGAAACTTGAAAATTTACATAATTTGTTATATAAGTTATAACAGCTTCAATCAAATTGATCTAAATATTAACCAATCCTTTTTCTTCTCCATTCTACTTTTAAATATTTCTAAATATTTTGAAGAACTTACTGTTATTTATTATATTGTTAAAATAAAAGTACAAGCATTAAGGCGTTAAAGAAATGTTAGTAAAACGAAGAAACAACAAAATAAAATGAATATGCGAGTTAACAAAGAAATTAAACACTTACGGTATCACTGCGCATTATATGGCCACGAGTTGTATGACTTATATTCTCATGTATCGTATAACCTCGCGCTATATCACATGCGTTGTTTTTGTACTATATCATCAAATGTATAACCTCGCGCTATATTGCCATATGTTATACACCTTACTTTATATTGCTATACGTTATCAAACCTCGCGTTATATGACTAGTCGTTGTTAAAACACAACTCATCGTTAAAAAAAAATTTTACTTAATACTTGAATGTAATCTATGCATATTAATTTAAATGCCTTTTGAAGATTGCATAGAAGTTGATTCTACATGTCATATTTTACACGCTGCGAATTTATAGGCTCACATCTATAATTAACGCAAACGCAATTTTAGCCATTGATACTCGGCCAATTTCGAGAAAAATATCTCTAAAATTAAAAAAAAATTGATAGTTGTGTATATTCAGGTTTATTGAATATTTTATTCAATATGCATAAAGATTATCGACAGTTCACCAATATTTTATCGATACTCAACAACACCTCGATGTTGTTAAGTCGGATGAATTTACGTTCTGTAAAGTTTTTTCTATTCTTTACTTATTTTTATTCAAATTTAATTCTTTATAATTTTATCATTAAAATCTATTCATTCTCGTCTGAATTTTAAACGGATCCGTTTTAAGAAAATGTGTATTCGAACTTCAGCTAATATCGATAGTGTTATCGATAAATATTGCAAATATCATTATCGATAATATCATTAACACACCGGATGACCGAAATAGAATGTAACATTTTATCGTACAACTCTCCTTACTCGTATTTAAGTTTCTAATCTAACCTGATAGACCATGTACATAATCAAATCATTCTCATTTAAAATTACATTAAATTAAATTCGTTCGAACATCGAATAACATATTAATGTATCGATAATTATAACTAATTATGATTACCACAGTTTCTCTAGGCAAAGTTAATTCAGGTTAGGTTTTCCTTTCTTTTATTCTTGATATACCGGTGATTAATGAGTGTGATGGTCAGCGATATAATATGCGTGCAAACGTTGTTATTCACAGACGTAGGTAATGAAAATTTCATTAACAATAAACTTTCTCCAATCATAAATTGGCAATTTTATATGTTTACATAGGTAAAACATGTACGTATACTTTATTTCACACATCGCTCGGTTAATTGCTGCATTTTGCGCTTCGTTGACGACATTGTACAAAATATAAGAATGTGATCTTATCAATTTGCAAATGAATCTTTTATGTATTTGTATCAAAAACATTTGTAGTATCAAAATTTGTAGAGCAAAACGGTTGTTTGAGAACAATTTGTGTTTACTATGTTTTCAGTATATTGAAGCAAACAGTGAGCTCCTTGAGAAGTATTAATAAATAACATTTGTATATCAGCTTCAGTTTGAACATCAAATATGTGTTTAGCGAGCGGGAGTTTGGGGACCTGAGTTCTTAGGAATTTACAAGTTTGAAAATTCTGAAACTTGGAAATTAAAAAATTTAGGAATTTTCAAATATAATTTTTTACATTTGATAACTCTTTCATTTAGCAATCTTTATATTTAAGAATCCACGTTTGCGAATTTTAGAAGTTTGGAAAATTATGAATTTGCGAACTTACAAATTAAAAATTTAAATGCACATTTTCAACTGCAGATATTGATTTATCAATGTCCGTGAGTGCACGTTTGCGTGCGATACATTATCACGAAAAATGCATTGATAAAACACTCATAGACCTCCGTGCATACGTTTTTCTTTATTTCCTTCTGCAAAATATAGTCGTAAAGTTTACCTCCAGAGCGCCCTATATTTACTTTACCGGCAATTTTCACGACCATAGGTAAGCGTGTGCTTAATTCTTAGAGTAACTGTACATGAACGTTTTATTGGTTGATTTACGGCTTGCTTATGTTCCAATATATATTGGGTTTTCGATTCTCTCTATTATATTGCAGATACCTGCGTAAGTGTATAATTGAGAAGGTTGGGCTTGGGAAAGCGATATGTAGCCTGACGTAGGAGCGCACGAAGCCGTTGGTAGGGCATAGGCTGCAACCCGTGACATGCAGTGTCGTAAATTTCACGCTTTTTTCGTTATGGTCCTGTGTCTTGTCTCTTTTAACCCTTTCGATACAATCACCTCTGTCGAAAACCGTTCCCCTACTGACACTTAACGAACGGTTTGCTTTTCCTCGGCTTCCGGTCATTTTTTAAGAAAAATAAATAAATGTACTAAGCATGCGACTGTGCACGTGCAGAGCGCATAAAAATGAAAATCGTAACGTAACTTAATAAAAATTCGAGTAAAAGTAAATTTACGTGACAAGTCTGTCAAGTATAAAATTACTTAACTGAATCGTAATTAGAACAAGTCTGTATATTTTTTATTTTAATTGTTTTGTGTTAATCTGGTGTATTTTTAAGCATTTAAAAAATTTCAAGCTTTTAATTTTATTCAATAGTAAATTTATCCAAGATTTTCTGATCATAAAATTCATATTCCTGAAATTTTACCACTTTATTTTTTTACACAATGTGTCGTAATAAAATGTATGTAGCGTAATGTAATAAATAAAACGAACAGAGGTGATAATTATTTTTAAATTGTAATCATTGAGAACAATTGATGTCGATCGTCGTTTAATATCTCACGATACGTACACCATTTAAATCAATTACCTATTTAATATTATAACTATCTACCTTATGTTTGATATTAATATTTAAAGTGAGCGATCTTATTGGGTCACCATTTATATTTATATGCGAAATGTTTATTTATTTGTTTACATCTGTAAATATTTGTGAGGTTAAAGGGAAAGACGTAATTTTGATTAAACACGTGAAAATTATATCGTATTATACGATGTTGAATAATATGAAGTTAAAAATGTTCACTATGGTTAGTATCCATTGGCAATAAATTGATCTTGATTGTTTATTAAGGAGAAATATGTAGCGAGTTAATAGTATCGCCTTCGACATTAACATTCATCACTGTGTCTCTAGCAAGTGATCAACACTTTCTGTCGACTTTCATTGAAATGTTTTACGTTATACCTACAGGTATAAGGTCAGAGATTTCGTTATTAATAAATATAGAATATTACCGGGTACTAAACATTTTAAAAATATTACTATGCATTTATAATAAATATACCATCATAACAAAAATACAGAAAGTTAAATTCTCGAATAATTTAACTTATTCTCTCAATGAATAATAATATATGTAACACGAATAAAATTGCAAAATATTTTAATAATACATTCGTTAATAAATTTTTATTCACATAGAAAATCAATGTAAGGAATTATAAAATAAAACCGATGAGATTATTTTATAATGTGCTTACTTAATTACCGAGTAAATGATTTGGAAATTATTCTCGATATGAAATAGGAATTTTTTTTAATTACTGATTTTCTACTTGTAAAGTAGGAGAGTTCAGAATAAAAGAACAGTATTTGCCGCGTCTCTTTACTTTCACCTGGATCTTTGCTAACAGTCATATCCGGTAACCTGAAAGAGCTATACTTCGTTTAAGCTAACTTCTTTTAAACTTACTTCTCCTTCAAAGATTTTCATATGAAATACAGATTTATCATTCAAGAAAGATGAGAATATATCGATAATTATATTCTCGGGAATATTGTAATTTGTAAAATAAAAATTTATTTTTTTAGTAAACAAAATTTATCTTCAATGCATATAATTTTACATTGTATAGTTTTTAATATTGTACCTATTTATTTTCTTTTACTACATTGATTCTGTTACAAAAATTGTATTAAAGTATTGATGACGTTTCTTGGAAAAATACTACGTAGTGTTTATTATTCAACAACCGATATGAAAGTGGACACAGTAGAGTATTTATAATTTTAGAAGTTTAGAATTTTGAAAATTTAAAAAGTTGGAATTTAGATATTTAAGAATTTGTGAATGCAGAAATGTGCAAATTTTCAAGTTTGAGAATTTAGAAACTTAAGATTTAGAAATTTGTTAATTTTGCAATTTAAAATTTAGGAAGGGAAATATAGAAGTTTGTTAAATTTAGAAATTATGCAATTGATCTTCCAAAACGGAAAGTAATTGGGAGTGGCTCTTCTCTTATCTAGCCCAAAAGTTACGCTCCAATATACTTCGTACAAAAGTAAAGTAAAGCTAATAGATACATGAACGTTTTAAAAGAAATAGTTATTTAGAAATGATTCATTTTCCAATTTTTTTTAGAAATACGTGGACTGTACCATCTTGGAAACTGAAAGCATCATTGACGCAGAAGACTCTTCTTACGATAGCGATTACGAAACTGAGGATCCAATCGGATCCACCAACGTCCATTCACAAGTGGAATTACAGGTATATTGATTTTTATTAAATATAACCATTCGTACAATAAATCCTTGATTATTTTATTATGTTTCAGTACAAAGGTCTTATCTTTTGATTTGATAAAAAAAGGTAGTTCTATAAAAAAGAAAAATTAATGTCTTTTATATGTTTTCCACTTGTAAAATAATTATTCAACCACATTAAATTATATGTCTCAATGCTTGCTCGAAATATTTCCGAGAATCAACCGTTTCGTGGATATTCGAAAGAACTAATCTGAAAAGGACATCCTGTGATATGCTACGTTTTAAATATATGCAAAACAGTTGACATTTCGGAACACCGTTATCTTCTTAACTGGTGCTAATTAATTATTTAATATGACATTATAGGCGACTACTCCAAATCATTCAGATGTGTCCAGGACCGCCTCAGATACCTTGGCTGCAGAATTTGCAGAATATGTCACCGTTCAAGGAAGTCCTCCTAATCAGAGTCCAGGTAAACGGTTTTCTGTAAAAATGACATCACTTTCTTTTCGATAAAAAAGTTAACTGTACAGCTATCGACACAAATGTAAAATAACATCTTATTTTCTGTGTTACACTTTTATTCCGGAATGCGTTATAACTATTGATCTTCTATGGCACACCTAATAAATAACAATTTGTATTATAACGTATCTTAAAATTGAAACTGTACATAAAATATTAATTATTCATTCTCCTCGAACTAAATTCACCTTGAAAAAAGAAAAAGAGATTTGTACCAACCTGTGTGGAGATCAGTCGTAGGTTTGCAACGCTACTATTTAACGATTCACGAAACATTTGAAAGTTGAAGCATTTCCTTACGAGAATATATCATCACTTCTCCTTGGAACCTTTGCAATTTTCAAATCATGCACTTTAAAGATCATCTTTAAATTTTGATCACATCATGCTCGTACCTATCACAAATTTCTCTAACATTTTAGGGATTCCTCCCCTCCTGGCACTGATGCTTCGTGTGTTTCAACCGAAGATCCTAAACTTCTTTATGTGACAGGCCATCATACATATTTGAGTCTATTCGAGGTCGGGTTTCTTACTACTCTCCTCGGTGAGTTGTCCTCATTCACCTGCTTCTTGTATTTATAGAACCCTCTTAGAAATTTTTCCGAATTAAACATCTTCCTGCTAACCGTCGGTCTAACTATTGATTTCGCTAATAATTGTCGTTTAAAATTTATTCTCATTTTTAACAACTTCGACTCGACATACACTGTCGAGCACGCTGGTCTTCTCTAGAACAGGCATGCCCAACTGGTAGCTCACGAGCAACTGTCCAGGGTGTTTCATCTAACTGCCACCCTTAACTATTTTATTTACATCTTCTGATTTCAGCTTTCTGAATAAAACTTGGTTAAATATTAAGACGATGGGGATCTGCTTTCTTTAAAAGGCTTTCTTCCTGGAGAAGGATAATAGCGTGCTCGGCACTGTATATTCGGATGCAATGTAGGCTTCCTTTTGTTAAGGAAACGAGCCTTCAATTTTGGAGGATCAAATTGTTAATTTACAAATTTTTAATTTCCAGAAGATCTCCAAATCCTCTCAAATTTGTCGCATTCCTAAATTTCTATATTTACAGATTTTTATTCTAAATTTCTAAAATTAGAAATGGACCAATCAAAAGCTAGTATGTCACCATTTTCCCTAAGGAAGCTTACTGTGCCCGCCAATGTATATAACACTGCACTGCCACGTTAATTTTCGTACTTGGCATAAATTTTATCGCGTAAAAGGTTTACTATATAAAACTCAAGTATTAAGATGTAATAACTAATTTGATTTTAACTAACAAGAGCACTACAACTCAATATTATAATTATTTTGGAAATTGATATGTATATAACAATAGTAATTTATATGTAACAACAACCGCGTATGAAACATCGGCTTGGGGGGACTAATGATAGTGCAGCATTTAATTTTGTCATATAAATAAAAATATTTGTCTTATTTCAGCTTTGTAATTGTCCCCAGTTAGCTTGAATCGATGTACTTGTCTATTCTAATTAATTTTTATAATATATTTGTTAATACCGTCGTTATTTTATTTTATAGAAACAGCAGATTAATTGAAATATGCGTGTAGCTTTCAGAAGTTTGATCTCCACATGGGCAAGTACATACATAGCAAGATGTTGAGGTCCTAAGGACTCAGTGAAAAAGGAGCTGTTGTATCTACTTTCTAAAGATATATATTTTTCAATTAGTCCTTTTAATGTTAAATTAAAACTATAGTTTTATAAATACTTTTGTCTAATTTACTCGAAATCGGTAAAAATGGAGTTGCACTTTGCCTATAGTTTATTAAGCGAGCTATTAATTATTTACCTATAAACATTTTACATGATTAGAGTGCATAGATCAACAAATATGACATAGTGAATAGCAAAATATATTAACAAGTTCAGTTCCAGGATAACAGGTTCATTTTATAAAAGAGTGGTTTGTGACGAATAAATTTCCAGTTAACATTAAGTACTGGGGGTAGAGACCATGTTAATCAGTCAAACTTTACTTGAAAATATGTATCAATTGCGTTATTAATAGATGTAAATTATTTGATTTTTTAGGGTACACGGCTAGAGTAGAGTTTGCTCTGAAACTTGGTTATACCGAACGTTTAGTTCAAACGGCATTACAAAAATTGGGCCCAGATCCAGAACAAAATGAACTTTTGGCAGAATTGATCAAACTCGGAGCTAGTTGTTCCCAAAAGTCGATCGACGCACCGGAAGAGTCTGATAGCGTTCTAGACAATGATTTAGTTACTAATGAAAGTAGTGGATGCTCCAGCAGGCTTAGGCCTGTTGTGATCGACGGAAGTAACGTAGCAATGAGTCATGGAAACAAAGAAATATTTTCCTGCAGAGGGATCAAGATTTGTGTAAATTGGTTTAAAGCTAGAGGACATAAAGAGATTACCGTGTTCGTGCCAAAGTGGAGGAAGGAAGCTTCCCGAATTGATAATCCAATCGCTGATCAAGAGATTCTCGGTGAATTGGAAAGAGATCGTTTATTGGTTTTTACTCCATCTAGGTTTGTATTCATGTATGAATTACACTTCCAAATTCATAGGTTTCTAAATCTTTTTAAATCTCCAGAGTTCAACAAAATTTATTGTACATTTAAATTTTTGATTTCAGATTAATAGGTGGTAAGAGAATGGTTTGTTACGATGATCGTTATATTTTGAGATTAGCTGCAGAAATTGATGGCATTGTTGTCAGCAATGATAATTATAGAGACTTGGCACAGGAAAGTCCAGAATTTCGGAAAGTTATAGAAGAAAGGATTTTGATGTATACTTTTGTAAATGACCGGTTTATGCCACCAGATGATCCATTAGGTAGAAGTGGCCCTACTTTAGAAAATTTTTTAAGAATTTCTCCGAGAAAATCTGATCCAGCCCCTCCTTGTCCATATGCAAAGGTGTATAATTGATCAAAAAATATAGTATTTCAATACTTGTTTAAATATTTTAACCATTCTTTGAACATTTTTTTATTACAGAAATGCACTTACGGAAATAAATGTAAGTTTCGGCACCCGGAAAGAGGTCCTCATCCTCAAAAATCAGTTACAGAAAAATTAGTAGAACACGTGCAAAAGCATCTTCAAGCGAAAGATCCAAGTCCAAGTCTTCTTTTGCCAACTAATATATCGCCCAATGTATCTCAACATCAGCCATTGTGTAAAACTAGATCAGCAGTAACTACCAGCGTCCAACGATTACCTTCAGTTATAAAAAGTAAATCCGTAGAAAATGTTGCTATTGAGCATCCAACAAATTCTGGAGTGCAAGGAACACAAACAACTCCTACCATAAGTTCTCAAGGTAGAGATAAAAATGTATACAGTGGTGGAATTAAAAGAAAAATTACAATAGAACTACGTACTTAGTTTTTTTTATTATAAAAGTTTATAACTTGATGTTATACAAATGTCACAGGTGTGGAACGCGCAATTGTATTGTTATATTTTATTAGCAGGTTATCATCCCTCCTGTTGGTCAGCAGGAATGAATAAATCAGGATTGAATAAATCAGACGGAGAACCTCCAAATATGCACAGAAAACTTCAGAGACAATTAACTTTGAATCCAGTTTACGATCCTCGCCTTCGTCGATCGAGTCAATACCAACAAGCATCATCAATGAACTCGTTACCACCACAATCTTCCAGAGTACAACATAGACCTTTAACTAGACATTCTAGCAACGAGTCACCTTATAGAGTTGACATGAAGTAAGTGTGCACACTATTTTATACAATTAGACATATGTTAGTACTTTCAAACTGTCACATATGAATGCCGAATTTAATTTAATTATTTAGCTGGGATCATTTCGAAGGAAGACAGGGACATCAACATGTAACGCGTATTGCTTCGGCACCAGAGTCTTATCAAGCTTGGTTACCAAATAATTCAAATATGGCTTCGCCTTCGCCGTCAAATCAACAACTAGCTGCTTCAGACAGACAGTTAAATGTTTCTGTACATCCATTGTACGCAGCTATGCCTTCAGAGATGTTAAGAGAACTTCTTGACATCAGATCACAGATACTTCATCATTTAGTAACTGTTTTTCCTGAAGAACATGTGAGGACTGCTATGTTAATGCATCCATTTGAAACAGATGCAATAGAAATTTGTATTGCAATTTTAAAGATGTATCCTCAATAACAGAATAAGAAGCATTCTTTTTTCATTTATTTAATTTGTATTTATTATATAAAGATAACAAAATGTAATGATGAGATTAAAATTAGAAAAGTATTGTGATACCCATTAAAGTTTTTATGAAATAAACATTCAAGTAATTTCTTATACAGTTTGGATTTTTATTTAAACATACAGTATCCTGTTGCGAACTGTGCAAAAAATTAAAAAAAGGAATTCAAGTTCATATCATGAAATTGATATTTCAAAACAGAAATTAAAAGATTTATATTTCGAAAGTAGTATGTGTAATATTTAACAAAAAATTATAGTTCATAGTAATTTATTATTATAAATGCAGTTGGAACACATAATTACAAGGACCTTAACAACTGAAATTAAATTTAAAAATTAATTATGTTTTAAACGGATCACAATAACAGCTTTTAAATAGCATTTCCGTTTTTCAATTTTAATATAAAATATCAACTACGTAAAAGTTCAGTTGCATTTCTGTAGCAAAGATAATTATAGTTTTAATAATGCCAATCAATCATGTAATAACTTGAAGAGATATAACGACAATTGTAAAATAAAATACACTAACTTTGGTTTTACTTCTATTACTTCTATTGGATGATATGGAAACACTAAAATTAGATACTACAAAAGAATACCCAAAAATTGAAAAAAAAAGAAAATGCCATGTTGGATATGTACTTGAAAAGAAAAGGTATGATATTTTGTAAGAAATTCAAAATTAGAAATTTTTTGGACATCCTTCGGTGTGTACGGTTCTGATTTATTCGTTTCAATCAATACCAATAGCCGAAATCTACTGTTGTTCATTCGGATTTACAATTGTCTTTAATCCTTTTATTAGTAATGTTATAGTAATGATTGCTGTTTTTTCACTTTATACATGCATTTGAACTATTTTAAAAAAAAATGATAATAAATAATTTTTAAAAATATTGTACAATGAGAAAAAAAATACAATGAAATATGAACTTTATAGTTAAATTGTTCATTACTATAGCTTCAAAATAAAAACGCTCACCTTCAATTATAAATTCTAAATGTAAATTTTATTTTTCGTTATGTAAAATCTTTTATTTAACTAATGTGATAAATTTTGATAGTTTTTGTGAAATGTGAGTATCAAAGTACAAACAGCATTCATTATCATCAATGGTTCACATAAATGCTTTAAGTATTTCATAAAATAAAGATTTTGTAGTTGTTTTTAAAATAATGATCATAATAATGATCACAATACAGTTTAAAATAACACATAAAAATGCTATACAATGTTCTGTTGACAATTTTAAATATAATGAAAAACAATTTCAATGTAAGTTCCAATTAGTACCATTAACAAACTATACATCTCACAATTACAATATTTTATGTTAAAGTCCATAGCTTCACAAGTGAATCTTCATATTTCGATCAGTTCAAATAATTGAAGTTTATAGAATTTTAAAATCTCTTTCACTATTTAGCATTTTACTGTTGTAAAATACAAGTTCCTCGTGCTTTATTTTAGCGGCTGTTGATAAATAACATTCAAAAAATTCTCTCATAGAAGAGAAGGTAAGCTTGGCTTTGTAGTACAGTCGTTTCATCGACTTCTGATACTCTAAAAAATAAAAATAAATCGTGTACAAAATAGAAATGTTGGTGTATGTTCATATAAAAATAAAAATAAAATTCAACTGATATTATTTTTAATGAAATCTACAACTAATCAATATTAAGGAAAAGCAAAGATTCATTTAATGTAATTTCAAACCATTTTAAAATCAATTAACTTATTTCCATGCAAATCTTATTTAACAATCATTAAAATATTTTTCGCATTAATCTAAAATCGCATTATCCATTTAATGAGTTATTATTTATCACGTATACAGTCTCTCAGTTCAATGTTTTCATGTTAGACTGTGAATGTTAAACTTATAGTCGCATAAAACGGGGGAAAAAATATGTACCTAGAATCCGAGACATAGTACCACTTTCCAGGTGGTGGTTCGATTATAGTTGGGAGGGTTGAAGTTGTTTCTTCAGTTTTAGAATCAGAACTTGATGAGTATGAGTTCTCTTGCATATCCTGCGGATCCTTTGGCGGTAAAAATGACCACCGAGGATCATCTGGCTTTAATGGTAACCGAGACTAAAGAATATATTAATTAGTAGAAAATTTTAATACTTTAATACATATTTAATATTAAGATCATTACCTTTACATAAGCAACATAATGTCCGCCATGAATAGTTCCACTATGTTCAACGACACCGTAGAGTGCATAAATTCTAGGTTTTTTATGATTTTTACAAATGGGTGATAGATCGAGTAAAGTAGGAAATGAAACGTGTCTTGTTACTTTTCGAAAATCAATTCGTTGTGCTTGAAAACGTTTTAAGTGTAGAATCAAAACTGCAGGTACTCGAGAAATTAGGTACTGTTTTGTACTTGGAGTACATACCATCTTACAATCTCCTTTTACCTAGAATTATGAAAAACATATATTTATATACGACAAATTTAAAGAAAAAGATAATATAAGAGTGGTGGATGGTATAAGAGATAAGGCTATCTATCTGCTACGATTAAATTTCTGTGTGATATCGCTATACCTTTTTTTCCCTGGCAGTACAAGCCTCGCAACCAACTTTATTACTACCACTCATCAATTCTAAAGCCGCAAATTGTTTTAAGCACGATTGTATTAAACATTCTCCTTCTTTAGTTGGATATTTAATAGGCGATTGCTGACTGTTAGAACTGATAATTATTTTTGAAATTTCAGAAATGAGCCCATCAAATGTATTGTTAACCTCATTTGAGTATTCTTCTATTTTTCTTCTTGCTGGCCTATCATTTATATAAAAGTTAAAAAAGTTATAATTGGATAATTATATTGCAATCAGTACGAATAATGAGTTCAGTTAAACCACAGATAAACAATACCATTCATCCCAAGCTTCTTTTGTTACGGTCTGATCAAGCTTGGATACTGGCCTTTCATTAATTACTCCATTTTCTCCATTTATACCACCAGAAATAGGACTATTTGGACTTTCTTCAGATGAAATTGAACTAGGACTAATCGTTGATACTTCTGGACTCGTTAAATTTGAATTTACTGCTAAAGAAGTAGAAAGAGAGAATCCAGTTTGGACTTCACTTTCATTTTCTACACTTTCAGAGCTGTCTAATCCATCCGAAACTTTTGGTTGTGATGAATTTACCACGCATGCATTCGTTGGACTTGAACTATACAAACATATAAATCGTTTATTAAACAAACATTTATTTAATAAAATTAAATTTCATTTTATGATAATGACATACCCAGGTAATGTTTTTGTACTAAAATTATCTTGGAGTTGTAGTAAATTCAAATTATTTGTTGGAGTCATTTGCAAACCATTATTTAATGGTAGCTCATTCATATTTTCATTTGATTTCATTACATCAGTCGATGGAGAAGCAGGACTTGCCAATGCAGACTGCTTTTCTGAACTACAACCTGATTCAGCTACTTCTGGAAGACCCTCTGCTTCTATGTTATCTTCTACATCCGCATCACCCTTTTCTAAAAAGTAAAATTTACATCTTTCTTTACCAAATTATGCTTATTATATTTATCTATTATATTTATGCATACAAAATTACTATATATAACATGTACAAATTAATGTATATTACCTGATTCAAGTATACTACCATTGTTTTCTTCAGCAATATTATTGTCAAATGTGAACTTTTCGTAAATATTTATAATATTTTGCTTTCTATTCTTCCGATTTTTCCGGACAGGCGTCTCCTTTCTTGGTTGACATTTAGAAGGTGAATGCGAAATTACGTTGAAAGAATCTTCAAAACCACTATTCTTCCTTCTTAAATAAATGTAAATATAATACAAATATTTATTTATAATTACATATTAGTTAAAGCCTTAAGTTATAAAAATATATAATTTTTCAAACAATTAAATCTATGTAATACTATGTAACTGCTTTAGTAAATCTTACTTTAAAACGGGTGGTTGTGGTTTATCAGCCATTACTGGTAAACTTAAATCAAGAAAAGGTTCCATACTTTGTGAAGTGTGATGACAATCAAGACACTCTACTGTGGAAACTAAAACTCCACGAAAAACCAGTTCTGGGCCAAGTAACCTTGCGCTAGCCTGATTTCCGTAAAATTTTACACGTGATTTAAGACTGTCTTCAACTCCCTCTGGGTTGGTTTTTTCATTCAAACCAACTTCTTTTAAAATTATGCTTTGATATCTCTAAAAAAACAAAATTGTTTTGTTTATGAATCAAATTAGAAACAGCAATTACATAATGATGATACAAAATTATAAATAATTTAATGATTTTCATTGTCATAATTACATAATTAAATCTTACCCTAAGATCTTCATTTCGAACTATTTCTAAAAGATGTCTAAGAAGTTCGTGTGAATCATGTTGCCCTCCATCCATGCACTGCATTGTTTTCTTCTTAAATGAATTTAATAGCTCCGAGGGACGATATGCTTGACGTCCATCAGAGTTTTGCATTTCAGTAAGTGTCTTACACAAAATTGAAGTAAAACTACAATTTTGCCAGCCTTCTAAAGTACCTTCTATTGGAGGCTGAAATAAATATCCCTTTATTTTACTCAAATTTTAACAACATAATATGCTTTCTTAAGTTTAACAAATCTTATCTATTGTTTTATTTAACTTTTTTGTGATACTTTGTTATATCTGTTACTTATCACTCAAGATACTTAATACATATACATTCATTTCTTTCAGATAATAAATTTTGTTCCTAATAGCATAAATATGACAGATCCTTGAGGAAATTTAATGTCACTCACATATGGATGACATCAGAGCCAATGCATTAGTAAATTTAAAAATGATTAGAAAACAATCCAATAATATTATGTGTTTGCATCTTAATACCATATTGCTTGACATTAATAATACACTTGCAGATTATAGTATTATTTTATCATAATCTTAAACCTGTAAGTTGCAAACAATTTATTTTTAACAATGACTCACCAATTCAATTTCTTCTGAACTATTGGCAGGTTTGTGCTTTCCTCCTGGTAAAACAAATTTCTGTCCAGGAAGACGTAGATCCTCGAGAACCTTCACTAAGAAAGGTGTTTGTGCTAAACATTGTAAAACTGCATTGAAAAAACAAGTGTTTCCCAAATTCATTAAACCCTAAAAAAATTGTATTATACTGTAAATATAGGTACACTAATAGACTGTAATTGTACTACATTAGAACTATTATTGCTCATCTGTAATCAATATTACAAAATATACACACCCCTACTTTAGGAAGATTGTATAAAATTTGTTCTTTTTGATTTTTATCTACATTAACAGTCTCTTTTTGAAGTTGGTTTTGTATCACTTTATTTTGAGAGGGACTATTCATTGCTGTAGCAGCCCTTTTTACAAAGTCTATAGTTTCTTGAAGTTTTTTTCTGGAAATTCAAAGTAATTATTTAATTTGCAGCAAGTACTTAAAAATACTTTTTCTCAATAATATTATATTTACCTGCAACCAATATTAACTTCTATCTCGCATTCAAAACACCAAAGATTCCAATGAACAGTTTCTACAGCTAAGGAATGACAATCGCTATGTGGTGTTTTATAATGTTCTAAAGCATGTCCACATTGTTCTTTTCCACAACCTTGATGTCCACATTGCAAGCATATTAATATTCCTGAACTTATTGCACATTCCTGAAATTAAGATATTATAACCATAAAAATATCATTTACTATTAAATAAAGTAAATCTCATTTAAATTTAATATCAATACCTCTTCCTTAGATTTGATAGAATTACTTGTATTTTTTTTACAAGTTGCACATTCTATACTCATCCCTGTTTTAATAATATATTTTTTGATTTTATTAAAACTTACTGCTTTCCCAATATGTGGACATTTAGTCGCTAAAAAAATTTAATTAATTTAATTTAATTTGCAATATTATAAATAAACATGTAAAAAACAAAGGGTTATTAAGTTTCATTTTTTATCTTATATTTATAAACATTATTTTTCGTTCAGAAAATTAATTTATTTCTACTTGATGACTAGTAACTTCACAATCTTAATAGATTATTTAATGATAATTTAAGAAATATATTTCTAATAAAGAAACACAGGGTCATAATTCTGGAACACCTTTTTAAAATTCTAACCTGTAGCGAAGGATTTATCACATGAATCAGTCGAACCATCACTAAGATCTCCGTTTGGATCGGACTGTCGATTCCGTTTTTTACTCATTTTGACTTATTTTAAAGTTGCATGGAACTTAATCGCTACGTTTCTTTGTCTCCTCTACGTGAATTTAATAGTTTACTAAACAGAAAGCAAGCGTAAATTTGGTTATAAGTGTTCTAAAAAATAATTGTGCTAACCAAAATGAGTACCAACTGACAATATTACGTTTCATTGGGTTTTCTATATTGATGCATCGAAAAATATTCTTACGAACTAATAAAACAATCACTACTTATTTATAACGAACTAAGAAAAATGTTACGTCAAAAAATTACTGTCAGAACTGCTATTGCTTTCTGACTTGATATTTCGGCCACACATTTAGGAACTGAGTGGAACTGACTATTTGTTTAAAAGCGCAAGCGCTTTTACGATATTCATGCTTCCGATATATACACTAAGTGATCGTGCAGTTTATGTACTCCATACAGTTTAGAGATGACTATAGTCATATATACAGTTTTAGTATTTAAAAATTCGTATATTTAGGAATTTAAAAATCTGGGAATTTTGAAAATTTCGGAATTAAAAAATTTGAAAATTTCAAAGTTGAACAATAGCCGATTGTAATTTATCAGCACAATCTCTTCTTTCTATTGACATATTTTTGCTCACCCTATACATGACTAAAGAAACAGAAAATATAGAGTAGTGAAGTAACTCCAACTTGTGAGAGATCTTATTGAAGTTAGCCGCATTGCATGAGTCGGGTATGATTTCCTGGTGCACAAATAATAAATAGGGAATAAACAGTGATGACAACAATAGTAAAATTAAATACTATAAATTTGACTTCAGTACAGCATAATTTGAGTTCTTTACAGATTCCAAGTGTTCGAAATCAAGAATTTGTATCAGGAAAACATGATAGCAAAGGAAGTATTAAAAGTGCCATTTCTTGAATTTTAACATTGTTTCTTAGAATTATTCTGAATATATTTTGAAAATGACGTAACAATTGAATAATATTTTACAACTTTACAATACTTACGAGCTCAAAATCGAGAAATGGTATTAGGAAAACATGCATGCAAAAAGCACAGCATAAATTTTTGAATAATTTCTAATATTTCTTATATCTAATATTATATTCAGGTGATATATTCGGGGATTACTAAATTGTTGCAAAAATTTTGAAATGAATAAACATATAATTTCACCTTTTTGTCCTATATTTATTAAAACTTCCCAATGTATACAACTTACAAATCTGTTAACAATATGTAATTCTAATATGTTGGGACACAGCACAAATTGATTTAATTATATTCTGTATTCTTTAGAAGTACTGTAGCAGTGTTGCATAATGGATTTGAAATGCATTCTTGTTTATCATCATTACATTCTCTACTAAATTTAAAAAAATTTGAACACATTTATATCTATTTGCACTTGAAATTATTTGTCTTACAATAATATTTTGCAGTATTGAATAGCCTTACAAATTAAATACTTTGTACAATTATAAATACACACTTATGTAACAATTCCTTGGCTTGATTCTGACTTTGAATTCCAGGACAGTGCATCTGGCAGCTATTGTCTGTATGTTGAATTCTGAAACACAAAGAACATTCTATAGGAATAATTCCGTTCTCAATAATGTGCATGCATAAAACAAGAATTTACAAAGTAATAATAATCATATGATAATTAGTAAAAGGTATTTTCATCAATTGACTTTGTCATATAACTCTTACATATTATTCTATGAATTCTCTTCGAGCTTTAGTAGTGATAGAAATATATATGATAGATTTTCTACATAAATAATATGTTATTTCCTTTTAGTATTGCTATAGTATGATGGGGACTATATACATTCAATAAATAATATTTGTAATATTGTATGGCATACTAACAATTCTTCAATATTAAAGGTTGTAGAAATTTCACAGAATTATTTGCAAGTGCGACAACATCTTCTTCTAAATGCTGGAATATTGCAATAACGTTTCAGACTTGGTATAGAACAGAATCGGCTCTCTTCTGACCAACAACGAAGTGGAAATTCGATGGCTCTTGTTATATGACTTGTACAGGACCGTATTTCTGTTTTAATAATTGGTCCATCACAGGTATAAAATGATTCATTATTTGGAGGAATACATCTGGCTATTCTAGATTTTATACCCTTTCCATTGTTATTTGAACACTATGAACAAAAATAATATTATTTATAACATCTTATTTTAGATACAATTGATAAAAAAATTCCTGCTACATTATTCTGCAAGAATATCCATGGCACCCTAAATGTTGTTAGATTCATCAATATATTTCACTCAAGAAAGTAAAGTAATTGTGGATATTATACTTTAACAAAAGTGATAAAAACAAAAGAATGTTTTCTTACTGAAGACCATTCTGTAAAAACCCAGCGTCCCGGACATGGAATTCTGTTACATTCTCTGTTGTGTGTAGGCACGGTATTGGTTTTGCATATTGACGGTTGCACCATTCTGCGGTAAACTTCTAGTTCATTATCCTTATTAACTTCGGTTCCATTAAAGTCCGAGTGAACGCAATGTAGTTGTCGTAATTGCATACCATAACTTCCACATGTAGCTGAACATGCTTCCCATGGACCTGGCAGCCATTTAAATGTGCAGCTGTAATATATGAAAAATAATCATCAAGCTATTACCTTAAGTTCATAATTACTAAAATTATCATTATATCAACAATTATTATTGTTCTTTTAACTATAAACCTTAAAGTTAATTTGGTTCCGTAATTTAAATAGTAAGAGACATCGAAAATGTCTTTTTCATCTACATGCATATTTATGCCAATGTCGTGTACCTGAATCCGTTACATTTTTCTACTTCCTGATTTGGCTTAGTCATTAACGGGCATTTCCTTCGCGACACTATTTTTCCAGTTTGTTCATCTTTGCAGACTATAATTTTCTGGCGCGTTCCATTACCGCAACTTGTCGAACAAAAGCTCCAACCACCGAACAACCATTTGTATCTGTTTTTCGCGTTCCGTTTATCACGATTTAAAAAATATTCTAAAGAAGCTGTAATCGAAGTTCCTTGCTCTGTTATACTTTGTGGTGCTACCAGCTAAAAAGAAAACGAAGTTCACTTTAATAAATTATTAAACACAGCAATTAAGCGAACACGTTATTTTAATAAGGTTTGGACTAAACATTTAATGGATTGTTACATAAAATAATAATGCAAAATCATTTCTGCATTAAAATTGAATATAAAGAATCTTTTACCAGGATCACCACGTCTTCAAAAGTGGTGCCAGCAGCCCGAACAGAATACGTGTTATTGTATTTCTGAATCCGAAAAGCAGCATCCTGTACAATTATTAAATCCTTTTTTCGGGAAGTCAAGTGATTTTGCATATTCCGCCTTCTACGTCCATCTCCTATCACAACTGTTAAATTGTTTTGATGAGAAAGTGGAGAAGGCAGCACCGTGATGTTCATGGACAAATTATAGGCTTCGCGGGGTATTATAGCGAGGCGCGTCACTTCTGTAAAAAAAACAGTAACAAATGTAATTAAACAAATATGATCTTCTGTAAAAGCAAAATATTTTCAAATAACAATAATGAAAATGACAGGGAATGAAAAATAATGAAAATATTACATATTTCAAAATAAGTAACAATTTGTTATTTTCAGGTACATTTTCTTTACGTCTAGGAATTTAACGATAATCGAAGGTTTCTACAAACATATTCAGCTCAGTTTATCCTCTACAGGGGATGATTCGAAGAGGAACGAAAGCGCGAAATCTCGTTTCGTAAATGGAATAAACTAAGTATATACTTTCGCGTTGTTCCTCAGACATTAAACTAATTAAGAACGCTGTTCCATCTTCGAGCTATTATCCAACTTTGAGAAGAACTTCTAACAATTCAATTTTGAACCGACCTCGTCGAAGTTTCCGTTGAAACTTGCTCATTATACTATCGCAGTTCGAATTGTCTCCATCGCATACTCCGCACATGTCGAAGACCTTCTTAGATCCTAGAACATTGTCGCATCCCATTTGATGGCACTCACCCTGTGCAGAAAATTTACTTCCACATTTATTCGTCATTACTGAGTTTAGTACAATTTGAGAATTTATGAAATTAGTGCGTTGCTACATGACCAGAGGAATTATTGTAGCAGGAGGGACATTTCAAATTTTGAAATTGACCATGTTTGCATAGATTTAGAAATGTAGGAATGAAGGAACGTGGAAATTCGAGAATTTGGAGATGTAAAAAAGATTTGGGAGTTCAAGAATTTGGAGATCTGAATATCAGAAAATTTGGGATCTTGGAAATTTGAAATGTCCCTGTTTCATTTTATTTAGATAACAACCCTACTATTTATTCATCAGGTATAACAAGTTATATCATTCATCTAACAGCGTAATAAATTTGTCTTTACCTGTATACATATATTCGTCGATCCGTAAGAGCAAGGTGTGCCGTCGATCAGATTTCGTCTCGTGTCGAATATTTCACCAGTTTCTTTACTCCTGCAGGTCAATCGACATTTCAAGTTCTCCTGGTCGGGTTCGTAGGGTAGCCAGGTCACGTTGTACTTCGATAAAACTCCTTCAAGGCCCAAGACATTAGTGAGTTTGGAACATTGTTGAGCTCTGAGATCAACGGACGTCAAGCATTTCGGTAGGTCGCAAAGTTTGCAATCGTCATTAGGACCAGAACAATATTTTCCTCCATAAACTGGTCTATGAAGAATGAAATTACGTTTAAGAATAAATCTTTATATGCACAAATGTGTTCAATTAAATTTAACAATAAATAAAAAAGAAGTACTGACAGTGGTTTGTTACATTTTCTTGTTCGACATATCACCCCTATTCCACATGTTCTTGAACATTTTCCCCAGGCACTCCATGCACTCCAACCTCCGTCTCTAGGTTTATTCAACACTATTCCTACGTCGAGTTTCTTTTTACTGGTTGACTGACATCGTCCGTGTATGCAAGACTGAAATGGTTTTTAATAGTATTTTAATAGAGTAATTTTTGTTAAAAGTTTCAAGCCAGTTATTTTATTTTAGTTATACTTTACCTTAGATATTCCACACATCGTTCCTTCCAATGGTGGTCCTTTCTTAGTTTTGCACGTCTGAGAAATATTGCTGTTTCCACACCATAAAAGGGAGCATGGTTCCATAACATCAAAAGTTTTGCAATATTCGTAGCTGAATGAAAAAAATTCTCTTGAAACGTTTCCTAGGCTTCGATTTTAAACATACATTTTAAACGCGCTTTTGCACGATTATTCAAGTCATATTACAACAATCGTACATTTTAAAATAAAATATAATTTGATATTCTTTTAAATTCGCCATTTGCCGCCGTCGACAGAAACGATAAGAAAGATTATATTTTGCGTAATTCAATTTATCAAGTTAATTATGCTACGATCATATCAAGCTTCATCTAGCTACTGTACAAATTCAGGAGTTGTATCTTAATTAAAAATCAAGTCTTTTCTCATTAAACGTAATTAATGTAAGATAACTCAGTCCACAACATTCACGAAAGCACAATTTTAATTAAACGAAAAACATCCCTTTTTGCTTGTATTTTAAATTAAATAGATCGAAGAGTAATCACAACATTACAATTTTTATGGTTTCACTAGAATCTACTTCTCATTTGTCATAAACCCTAAAATGCTTCCTACTTTTAAATATATATATTATACAACAAAATAAATGTACACGACAAAGAAATACATACCCTTCGCCGAATTCAATGCGGCACTGTTCGTCCATCGTGAACGATTCACGAATTGCAGCTTTTAGCTGTTTAGAACCCTCATATTTCGGCTTGTTCAACAAGCAGGACCTCCGTCTGCAAATACCTATTTTAAGAGTATGTAATTCTAAAAATGCACGCCCAAGTGAAACGCTTCTTCTTACCTCACCCTTCGGTGGAACTCATTTCTCGAACAAGTGGACCAGTAAAAGTGATGGAACGTCGCAGCTACCATAGGCGCCATCACGCTTCCTCGAGAGCTTTCTTCTTTGCAAGCGTTTCCAGTTGACTCATCCCCGTCGTGCGTTAAACCTAGACTACGAAAATGCATTGATTTCGAAATTTAATTATTCTTACGCAAGATATTCTGCTTTCTGAATTTTTCAACTTTCGCATTTTATTTTATAACTTCGGACTTTATAGTTTTAAAACTTTGAAATTTTGGGCTTTGTAAATTCTGGAACTTAGAAATTTTGAAGCTTAGAATTTTCGGGCTTGATGGTACATTGGAATTTTGGGAATTTTGAAAATCTAGAATTTTGCCATCAATTTTAGAATTTTGTAATTTCGAAATTTTGGGATTTGTAAATTCTGGAACTTAGGAATTTTGAAGCTTAGAATTTTCGGGCTTGATGGTACATTGGAATTTTGGGAATTTTGAAAATCTAGAATTTTGTCATCAACTTTAGAATTTTGCAATTTCGTAATTTTGGAATTTGTAAATTCTGGAACTTAGAAATTTTGAAACTTAGAATTTTCGGGTTTGATGGAACATTGGAATTTTGGGAATTTTGAAAATCTAGAATTTTGTCATCAACTTTAGAATTTTGCAATTTCGAAATTTTGGGATTTGTAAATTCTGGAACTTAGAAATTTTGAAGCTTAGAATTTTCGGGTTTGATGGTATATTGGAATTTTGGGAATTTTGAAAATCTAGAATTTTGTCATCAACTTTAGAATTTTGCAATTTCGTAATTTTGGAATTTGTAAATTCTGGAACTTAGGAATTTTGAAGCTTAGAATTGAAATGAAATGATCTTGAAATTTCGAAACGTTGGAAATTTTGGGACATCGGCCTTTGAGAATTTTGCAATACCAAAAGGAGAATAATCCAGCGAATGAAAATTTCGATTTCACCAACAATTTGTGTTCCAAAAATTATTTTAAGTAATGCCCAATTTAGTTCTGGAGAAGTTTGAAAATTCCTGGTTAATGTGCAACACTCACATGTGTGCAATCTCGTGTGCGATGATAAAAGCGCTGGTCAAACCCTCGTCTCGGTTTAAGGCACATGATCTGGCAGGATCGCATACTCCTGATACAGGGGCGTATCCTGAAGGACCTCCAATGTCCAATCTCGTTAACCATACTGCAACATCATGACGTATATCCGTCGAAGACAGCATTTTTCTGTTCCACTTGTTCACGTTTTCCAAGGAACGTCTGGCATCGCCGCGCCAAACCTACGAGATAAATTTTTATTTGTCAATCTCCAGTAACCACCGTAGAATAAAGAAACTAATAGAAAAAAATTGACTTTAATAAAATTGGCAGATTTTGCGTAAACTTTAATAACAAAGTTTATTAAGACGTTACATAATAATTTGATCAAGTGAATGTATTTTTTACGAAACACATTCTTTAACGTTTCGTGTATACAAAATAAATGTGTGAAAATAAAATAGAATATATAAAGAATATAAAATGAAATTGCTTACCCTACCGTCTCTTTTTTCTGTATACAAAATCATTCGTACAATCACTAGGATCATGTTAGACTCAAGAGATGGGTCCATATAAATTGCGCTAACCTTAAACAATAACGTAACTTTTAAAGCAATTTTAACAAACAGTATATTTTGCAGAAATTAATTGTTTCGTAAAATGATGTTAATTTGTAAAACGTAAATCTGCATCTCAGAGTCAGAGAATTTTAAGTTCAGGTTTTTAAGAAAAATAATATTCTACATATCTGTTGTGTTAAAATTTTTAAAAATTATTTTAAGGTAATATTTAATGTAATCTAAAAGTTATTTAATCTTACAGTTTTTTGTTTTAATATAGTTTAAAAATGGTGTCAAGTTTTACTAAGGTTTTTGCATTATTGATTTATTTTTCTGAAAAATTTAAAAAACATTTCATACTCTCCGGATTCAGCTATTGTTTGAAGTAAAATATTTTTCGTTAATTTTGTCTACTTACGATATTTAAAAGTGCCATGATATACTGTTGCACTCGAACTCCGTGAAAATCAATTACAGAGTAATCAGCAGCTATTCCGAGTTCCAGCCATCGCGGTGGCGCCGCTTTATTAACAGTTTGCTTCTCTTAAAAAGGAAGATAATAAATTATTTTCCTCCGCATAATTTTGAACCGAGTACTCTCACATTTTCATAACGTTCCGAGAAATTGGTTTATTGCAAAATATATATGTTACCGTGAAAGACCGAAATTGGAGAATGTCGATATTCACCGGTGAATGTCGACTCATACCAAATACGTCGGTGAAAGACCGAATATTTTATTACATTCTTGTACATTCGGACCCTCACCGGTGTATGTCGACATTTACAGATATGCTCTGGTGGAGGTCCAAAAGAGAGGAGCCGATAAAGAAGCGACTGGCTCTCTCCCGCCAAATCCTGTGTTCTTCTGTGAGTCAGTCAGCTTTGTCAATCTTATGCAAGCTTTGATGATGCGAGCAACGTTTTCTTAATTTTTTTT